AGTGACATGTTGAAATTGTTTTATGATATTCCTAAACTACAAGATATTGGTGGTATACGTGTATGGTGAAAACATTTCATTTGCCCCCCTCTTCCCCCCCCCCAGTTTCCCCCTTCCCCCTTAGATCTTGAGCACTTTTGTTGCTTCAAACGAACAAAATGCACAAATTACAAATGATGGACTATACATGTACCTTTAACAGGTGGCGAACATTTTAAAACATTGCATCAGCGTAGACTTACCCCCCCCCCCCACCCCCGCACCTCCCCCAACTGCTTTTGTTTTCTTTTAACAACTTCCACTAAAGTTCGGTGCCAGACAAGCTCTTTTTGAAGTATTTTCTCTCCAAAGAAGTTGAAGCCCCTTTGAGGCCTGGCTCAAATCCCAATTCCATTATCGATAAGATATTCTTGTCAACTTCACTTAAAATATTAGAGTGCAGATTAAAAGATACATTTACAGATGTTGGTAAAAATTTGCATCTAGGAGAAATAATGACATCGTCTGCGAACATGATTTGAAAGTCAAATTGAATTTTGTCGGTTGAAATGTACCCATGTCAATCTTTATCAAAATTGCAGAATAGCGGATAGTTTACCCGATATGTTTGGTTTGTGAATAAATGCAATTTTGTCAAATCAGAGGCTTTCATAGCATATGAATGTGGATGTACGTACATCATCTGAAATCCGAATACACTTTGCAGTGTGAAGTATTAAATCTATACACCATATACCCGTTACATGTACACTAATCCAATTTTTAAATTAACGTTAATTTAGTCTAATGTTTCATGTAACAGAGCACATCCACACAATGCTGTTGCGTAGGACTAGGTGTTTTTCTGTCTTGAAAAAGTGTGTTTCAATCTCAGGTGCTGGCTACATGTACTCTGTAGTGGTTATCACACGTAAGAGAATTCAATGTAAGGTGAATCAATCCCTAAATTGTTCTGCCAACTCTAAAATGTACAATTTTTGTGAGCTGATGTAGCTTACTTCTCCCTTAGAAAATTATATAACAGGGCTCAAATGTGAGGTAAAAAAAATCAAATAAATACTTGACCACAGGGCTAGTAATGCATGTGTACAGGGTTTGACTTAAGCGGTAGCCTGCTAGCCCAGTGCTAGTCAAAACAGCGGCGGGGAAGTCAAACTATTAATTAAGTAGCCCTGCTGGCGAGTCAAACATAATTGGGATACGGCAAAGATGAAAGCACAGGAAGAAATAAATCATTAAATTCAGAAAGCAAACCTGTATCAATTTGTGTCGAAATAATTTTATTAACTGTTTTAGGGTTATTAAAAACACTGACAAGGTTGCCTCGGGATACACGTTTTACATGTATGCACATTGTAGTTTATGAGACACTCTATAAAAGAAAAATATGAGGGCTGGTGAAAATGCCCGCGGGCTAGTTAAGAGTCCGTTTCAGTAGCCCAGCTGGCTAGTGAAAAAAAAGCTGTTATAGTACGTGTAGCTAAAAATCGGCAAGACCAACAGATTTTTTTATGAGACCGATGCAAAAATGAAGAAAAAAACCTGCATTTTGAATTCAATTGGACATTTTGAATTTAATTTGATTTTTTTTGGGGGGGGGGGGGTTAGTTACTTGGGGGCAGTTACGGTACTTACTCTTATTGCAAACTTACGTTCATTGCCGACTTCACCAAGCAAACCTTCAAATCTTATCGAACAATAATCTGTAGTAAACGAACAAAACTAGGGAAGCCTAGTAGAGCTGGTCCCAGAGTGCATTTTTAAAAAAATTCAATTGATCTAGAATGGCTTAAAAGTTCGTAAAATAAGCTGTAGTGGTAGCATGATGGAAACAGGTTACCACTCTCATTCACAACTGACAGACGGTCAGTCAGTGAATATAGACAACCAATCTAATTCAAAAAGGACAGTCAGTCAGTGAGATAGGTCACCAGTCTAAAAAGCCATTTGCGAATTAAATTTGAGTAACATCTGGTACCCTGACTTGCTCAAATGCTTGTCACATTTTAATTTTGCATTCTCCAGACCAAAGAGACTGCTGCTATATCACATGCTTCGAGGCAAGCCTAACGCTATAGCAACCCCCAGCAGGAATGGTCTGGTGTCTTTGTGCCATTGTCTCCCGTTGTGAACAATGTATTGATGCTAAGCATCTGTTACTTACCGGTAACTATGCAAGAGCTTTGCCCCGAATCATGTCATAGCAACAGTGTCTGCGGTCTGGAGAATTCAAAGTTAACACAAAAAGCAAAGCAATAGCTTGCAAAGGGTATAGACCTTTCTGCGTGTGGTTGGCAAAATGCACATTTTGCCGATTTTGCCAACCACAGGTTGCCAAACTATATGGAAGGTCCAGCACTGCAAAAATGGAGACTAGTTATTAAAAATTACCAAAATATTATTTGAATGTTAAAAATACAACGTTGTCAACAAAGCTACAAAATAATTCCTAAACATGATGACTTTCTGGAAAAATATGTTACCAACCACGAATCCAATTTATGCGATTACGGCAGCCCATACAAAATGGCGCCAATGTTTACAAACAAAAGAAAAGGATAGGTTATTCGCAAATGGCTTATTCCCAAGTGACTGGGAGTTGGGTAGTCGGGGAGTCAGTCAATCAGTCAGTCATCAGGTACCAAGAGGACAATAGACTGGTCCCTCGTGGAACAGCTAAAAGCCAGGTATGTACTGTACCAAAAGAACAAGACGAACAGGAGACTTTATACACGTGGACTCTGTCTAGCAGTCCAGTGGATATTTGGTTTCCATTTGGAAAGAAAAATACCTTCAATGCCCAAGGCATTCAGGGCACTTGTATTTCAGATCTGAACTCATCTTTTGCCAGCGTCTAGTCATGGGTGTAGTGAGCCATGCCAGCGAGTAGGCCTGAGCATTATGCAGGGATTGGCCAGCAGGGCGTAAGATCCAATATTTGGGGGGGAATCTGGTGTACAGTAATTGAGGTGGAGCAGGATCTTCACGATATTTATACTGCCTTGGGTGGCTGGCCGGACAAATAGCAATAACTAGCTCCCCCATCTTAAGATGGAAAAAAATGGATGTACATCATTAACAATTCATGTGTTTGTGACATTAAACGTGGAGGGAAGGGGACATTTACACAAGAAATATTGCATGTATAATTACTATTTGTATTACATTCATCAAAGTTTTATGATAACTTGCTTTTAAATTCAACAAATTGTCCGGTACGTGATAGACACGCAAAAAAGCAATACCTGTACTCGAAAAATGTACTCTGAAAATTGCCTGGAATTTTTCTTAAAGTTGATTCAAATAAAAGCTTTGGAATTAACAGATAATATTTCAACATACACCAGATCCAATGAATCTGATAACTGACTATCCCTTTTGGATTTATTGGTCGCTTCTGTAAAAAAAAAAACAGCAAGCAAATTAAAACTGTAAAACTTGTCACAAAAAATTGTACTGTCTTCTCGGTGTACATGCACCTGTACTTAGTGGATTTTTTTCATTGATAACTTATTCAAAAGTGAATAACAAGTGTAGCATTACAAGGAAAATCAGCAATTCAATACTACTTGTAGAGTTGAAGAAGCACCGTCGATATATATCGATATTACTCGATCATTTGATATTATTTTGATATCATATTGCCGGTGGAAATTTTTAAATCAAATATCGAAATTTTCGAAATTGAGGAATCATATTGAAAATATCGAAAATGTGTCCGATTATCATCATCGTGTTATCACGTGTTTTAACACGTGATAACACGATGATGATAATCGGGCGCATTTTTTATATTTTAAAATCGTTTGCTGTATAATGAAATACAACTCGGTGGAAACTTGTGCTTTTGACTCTTGACATCATCAAATTTCAAGTGGCTCTGCATTTCGCTGGAATTTGCAGCCTCACCCAATGTAAAAACTAAAAAATATACATCTGTTCTGGACAAACTCTCAGTGCTGAGATTTGTTTGAAAAAGTTTGAGCAATATGCTCCAGAGAAAACCGTGGAAAATTGGGACGTAAAGGAAGCGTCCATCACTTGTAATTTGTGCATTTTGTTCGTTTGAAGCAACAAAAGTGCTCAAAATCTAAAGAAAGGTGCTGAACAACTCACCTAATGAAGCTTCATCTCAGTGAATGTTTTATATTCCGAGAAAACAATATTCTAGGTTCTCGATTTCAAATCAAAAGTTGCTGAACCATGTTTTGAATTGGGCCTGAATTCAGCCTCCGAGACAAGTTCTCATTGAGCTGATTGCTAGCTACGCGTTGTCGCGTACTGAACCGACGAATTACATGTAAAGCAGCCATGCACGTGTGTGCATCGTGTCAATGCTTGTGCATGCTTCATCGTATAAAAAAATAAAACTACTAAGGCCAAAAAAAAAAAGTCTCCGGTTTCTGGTATGGAGCTTGCCCAAAAAAGTGGTGCGGCGACGCAGCTTTTTTTTTTTTTTACCTGATTTTTTTGCTTCAAATGTCGGCTGATGACTGCAAATGGTGCCCGACTAAACTTAGTGCAAATATACATGTATGGGAGTCCAGAGAGGCCACATAAAGCTTATTCTCGACAATAACCCAATCTAAAAACACGTTAAAATTGTGCAGCAGCAGGAATCCAGTCAAACCAGTGAGTTTGGCAGTTTTGAGACATCATCTTACATTGAAAAAAAACCCTTTTTCATTTTGCCGACGCGCATGGCTACGGCGACGCGCGCGCATACCAGAAACCGGAGACTTTTTTGGGGGGGCCTAACGGAAATTTCCAACGTTGCGTCATGCCTTAAGTCCCATTACTTTCTTTAAACCTAGTATGCTTTTCAACGATAATTCCGTCAGTTACTATCTTAAAACCATGTGGACTGTACCTTTAATAGCAATATGTTAATATTGTTGGGAGAGAAAAAGTTACATTTGTTGAAAAGCTTGGGGAGATTTAAGGGATTGCAGTGGATTGAGAATGGTCAACATGGCAGTTTGTCCAAATCATTCCTTTACCTGTTCATGTTTCATAAGTTCCCGTACGAGCTGAGGCACCTTGATTGAAGCAACGCTGCCGGTGCATCCCACTAAGACATGTTTCTTCGTCGTTGCCGATGCTGACGGTTGTGGGGAATCCTCTAATGAACACTCCTCGCTCAATTTCATTTTCTTGTCCTCGTGAGCCATCTTCTCTTCAACCTCTGGCTATCTCTGTGCAAGAGAGAATACGATCCGATCCATGAAATGCATGAAGTCAAAGCAGAGTTGACCCCCAAAAAATCTACTTAGGCCAGAAAGTAATGCCTATGACAATATTTTGTGGCTTTTCTGAAGAAAAATAAGCGACAAATCTTGGAGAAATTGAGAAAAAATGGCCCGAATATTTGGAACCCTGTACATTTTCAATGGACCAATTTCGGTTCTTGCTGCCAGGCCAATTATGAATTACAAGCTGATTTACCCGATCATAGATCGGGTAGGGCGTATTTGTGTTGGGGTTGAAAGTGTGGGGAGTTAACTGTAAATGGGGGATTTAGTTGAGAAGACATGTACATGTAGCTATAGAAAAGCAATTTACGGTGACGCGATCTGAGGCAATTTCTGACCACGTATGATATAGTAAAACAAAAGATCATCTTTTAAACATCATTTTCGAGTTTGGAGTCATTGAATCAGCTGTTCTGAGCAAAAGAATATTATAGTAGGCTACAATTTTTATTCGGGGAAGAAAAAGTGGGGGTAGGGAACCAAACGATATTCAGTGCCCGCTTTTAAATGTTGGGGTGGGGGTCCCCCGTCCCCCACCGATTGACACCGCGCCTATGATAATTATGTACCATGGCATGTATAACTGTCTGTAAACTTTCCCGTTGGTCTGTTGCATTTTGTGAGGCAGTCGCGTTTGTTAATGTGACAATAAATCATAATGGAATAAAACGTGAAGGTGGCATTTGCAATAGAAATGTTGAGTGTGTTACCATAAAATTACATAGTCTGAATCATGGAGGAAGGTCATTATGAAGGTACAGTTTTGGACTCTTCAACAAACGTAAACTTGAACTTCTTACAATTTGCGAGACCTGTGAGGAAAAAGTCGATTTAACTATTATATTCAAGTTGGCATGGTTCAACCATAATATAAGCAAGGCCAAACAGCCAACAACCGCCAATATTATTATTTATGCACTCTTCATTATTCCAACCCAACATAGTTCAAAGATCACAATATTTGAAGCAATGCATCGATCCCTCGTTGATTTACCCGATCATAGAGCGGGTAGGGCGTAGAGTTGGGGATGAAAATGTGGGGAGTTGAATGTAATTGGGGGATTTAGTTGAGAAGACATGCAGTTATAGAAAAGCAATTTCTGTGGTGCGATCTGAGGCAATTTCTGACCATTAAAACAATTTTTTTTAGCAAAAGATCATCTTTTAAACATCATTTTCGAGTTTGGTGTCATTGAATCAGCTATTCTGAGTAATAGAATCATTATACATGTAGTACTTACAATTTTTATTTGGGGAAGAAAAGTGGGGGGGGGGGGGGAGGGGACCCAAAAAGTCTCCACCGCTTTAAAATTGGGGGGGGGGGGGGGAGGGGTTCCCCGTCCCCCACCGATTGACGCCCATGATAATTATGTACCATGGCAACAGTCTGTAAATGTTCCCGTTGGTCTGTTAAATTGGCATTTTGTGAGGCAGTGGCATTTGTGAGAAAACGTACTTGAAAGGTTTGCCGTAGTACACAGGCGAAGGCTGATTAAGAAGGTCATAATTAAGTTTCAGTATATTGGACTCTTCAACAAACGTAAACGTGAACGTCTTACAATTTGCGAGACTGTCTGCGAGGAACTTGTCGAGTCAACTGTTATTCAACTTGGGGCAACCATTATAAGAGCAAATTTTACTCGGCCTCCGAGAAATGTTTGCTCCTGAAACGATCTGAGACCGCGGTCTTTCGCGACGCCAAAATCGCTCCACGTCCGTGGAAAAATGTGGAGGGTGTCTTCCGCCGGATCGGACACATTTTCGTTGATTTTTTGTGTGACTGCGTTTAAGATCGCGATGTTTGAAGCAATGCATCGATCCTTCGTTGATCCCAGACAGGCCCCCGAAATTATAACGCAACACATGTGGCGGGCAGCGAACTCACAACGCTCAGCCTTGGTGGAAGCATGGAGCTGTATTAACACACGATGGAAGCAACAGAGCACTATATATATACACGTCACTCACATGCTTGTGCTTCAAATCATGCAAATAGCGAGCACCGCAGACCCAACCTCGTTTCCAGGGTGTGGAGCAGGCTGCAGTACGCGTTGCCATCGACAGTTTTGCATAGCCCGGAAATACTACGCAGTGTAGACTTTCGATTGGTCAGACCGCGCAAGGCATACTTAATGTGTAGTCCTTCTGAGTATTCGTTGCACTCGGCGCAGGGGCGGCAAGCGAAGCATATGAAAGAATAGGGGCACTCGGTGGCCACGCACCATGGAGAAAAAATATTTTACCAAGGTCACCCCATACCACAATTTAGTGAACGCTTTTGCAGAACGGCTGAGTAGAACACGTAAACGAAACCCCTAGGTTGACCTCGCTGACCTCGCACAGTCTAGACTCGCAGAAAAGCCAGCACAGGGGGCGGCCAGGCAGTCAACGTGAAAGCGCACACGACGGCAAATTCCTGTGCAAAATGCAGTCACGAAAAATAGACGAAAAGGATCGCCGGTCCGTACGGGAAAATCAGATGGACCCGAAGTGTCCGACCCGGCGGAAGACACCCTCCGTATTTTTCCACGGACGTGGAGCGATTTTGGCGCCGCGGGAGCCCGCGGTCTCGGATCCTTTCATGAGCAAACATCGTCTCGGAGGCCGAGTTAAACTCTCTCTTATATATATAGATGAATTGATTAGTAAGAAGGTCCATACACGTGAGTTGAAAACTTGCAGTTTATTTTTACATCCATTGGAAAGCGCATGCAAACGGTGGCCACAATGCATTGTGATGTACATTAGTATAAAAATATTGACTGATTTCTTTAGTGGTGCAGCAAAACTAGCCTACCGAGATGATCCATGGAGCATTCTGTTATTCCAAGGTGAATGCCACGGAAATAGAAATGCTCCATGGACCACTAAAGGGAGAATAGTTTTTACTACAGCATGCTTTAAAAAGCAGTAAATATTGCTTTATAGTGCCACACCTACAGATTCTGCCTCATTTTGATATGCGACTGATTAATTTTATTTTTGAAATCATATAGGCCTACATGCTACATACATGCGCACAAGACCTTTGATTACTACATAGCTTGCTATGTATACAGTACATTTTCAGCAATATAATATTCTTTTTTGGCTGTATACGTGACAAGATAATAGAAATAGCGAATGCCATGTGATTTGCTCTCACCCAATCAAGAGACAGAATCTGTGGGTGAGGTGCTATTTACAATGTTGAAATCTCTACGTCCTTCTCATCACCCAACAGACCGGCCTGTGGTCGACTGCAAAGGCCTTTCTGTGCACTTTTCTGTCAAGTCTTGCGAACGTTAATTGAACCATTAACGTGTGATAATTTGTAATGGAAAATCAATGGGGAATTGCACTTAACACTAATGCATTAAGTGACCGCTTTCACAGTTGTTTGTTTTTTCTAACTCAAACCGGTTTAAAATGAAGTACAGTTGAACCCTGATAAGAAGAGCACTGTTACTAATAATACAACCATGGAGCTATATGATGGCACATATAGAACACCATACTTTGGTAAATTTTCGGGAACAGGGGCCAATTTCACGGCGCTGCTAAGCACACAAATTTGCTTAGCACCAAAAAAGTCTGGCTTATAAAAGCAGTTTACCAGCCAAAACTCCAGGTGATTTTCATGCTGTAGCAAACAACAGCTCAATACTAATCACGAGCAATATACATCACATGGAGTTTTGGCTGGTAACCTGCTTTTATAAGTCAGACTTCTTTTGTGCTAAGCAAATTTTTGTGCTAAGCAGCGATGTGAAATTGGGCCCAGACCACTAAGCAGCACTAAGTGACATGTAGAACTAGAAGCTCCTGCCAGGGCTTTAAAACACATTACAATACGGATGTACATATGTGTTATGTTTAACTCAATAGTATAACTAGCCAAAATTATCCAGACTGGGACAAAACAAAATCAGACCACTTGAATTTTATTCAATCTGTAAAATTCTCAAAAATGTTCACGGGGCAAAGACTCAGTATTTCACCAGCGAAGTTTGAGGTCTCAATTCAATTGTTTAAGGAGACCTTTCTCAACATTTTGCACCTGAAAGCATCCATCATGCTACAGTACAGAGAGTGAAGCTAACTAAATTTCAATTTCAAGTCTGTCTATTTTGAAATCACTTGACTTGACGTTTGACTTCCCTCTCATGTGCAAAATATTGAAGAATAGTCTCCTTTAAAAAAATAATTGAGTCTTCAAACTTGGTTGGTGAAATACTGAGGACCTTTTCTTTACACAAAGAATTTTTTTTAGACTTTTGCTGGCTAAAGTCAGAGTGAGTAGAGTCGGCCTGATTTTGTTTTGCCATGTTTTTCAGCACTCAGGGTGAAGGTCCCAGTTTGTAATCTGGCACCACGTGTGCACGCGGACAGTGCTGGACTATGAATGATATCGCATTATCGGATATATTCCACGTACTGAAGATAATAATAATAATAATAATAATACTGAACATTTATGTAGCGCTCTAAGTTCTAACTGTCATAGAAAGTACCACACAAAAATGGACGAAAAACCAGAAAACAGAACAAGAAATAAAACCACATTGTGCAAAATACATGAGTAAGCAATGGTATCGGGACAACTCGTACCCGGGACAACTCGTACCTGGGACGACTCGTACCCCAAATTTGTGACCCGGGACAACTCGTACCCGAGTCGACTCGTACCCGGGACAACTCGTACCCGGGACAACTCGTACCCGGGACGACTCGTACCTTGTACTTTTCTTACTATTTACTTTTCTGTTCCTTTTTAGTTAGATGTAATTGACAAATCCGAAGATGTGGAAAACCAAAAGCTGTTGAGTTTTGGGGATTTGCCAGTGGTGACAAGCAAGAGATTGTTCTGGAGAGATTCTGGCAGCTGGCCGATGATCGCGGAGTTCGCCGAATTCGCGGAAGGAGCTATAGCAATCATGAGCTTCGTAACTTATTTGATCTTCATTTATTGCGAAAACTTATTTCTAAAATAAGTGGACCGATTCATTAAAATTATAAAAATGTTTCATATCGTCACCGTTTTCACGAAGAGCCACATACCTCTATGTCAAAAATTACCATTTTTTCGATTTTGATTTTTTTCAATATTTTGCTTTAAAACAATGAACTTAACCATTTTGACATGTTTTTGTAAGCAAAACATCATTCATTTCCAAGTAACATTAATGTTGCAAGGGGCCAAAATCTCGATAAACGAATTTTGCGTTTTCACGAAGAGCCACATACATTTTGGCCCTTTGAACGCGTACAAAACCCATTGCACGGAAATACGTAAAAGCAGGGTCAAATGAGATTTGCGTTTTCACGAAGAGCCACATATCTTTGTGTTTTCTTTTCCGCAGTGGCTATTGTTACGGCAGCCGTAACGCATTTCCCATTTTCTATCGTTACGGTAGACTGCAACCTGGCAACTTTTACAAAAAAACATGACAAGAAAATATAGAATTAGAAGGAAAAAAGTGAATTTGAACTTTATGAAATTCGGACTTTATTTCCCTTTTAAAAAAAATCCTCCAAAGCCTCAGGTTAGAAAAGGAAAAAAATTCGAGTGCAAAACTGAGATTCGAACCCGCAACCTCGCGGTGCAAAATCCTACCCTCTATCGGCTGAGCTGGCGCACTGCACGATAAAACGTGGGGAAACAAATAATTATATACCTGCGTGCGTATCAAAAAAATATCGTAGAGGGCGCTAAACAACGAGTGCCGTAACGATAGCCACTTCGTTTCTTTTCAGACGGGTACGAGTTGTCCCGGGTACGAGTTGTCCCGGGTACGAGTTGTCCCGGGTACGAGTTGTCCCGGGTACGAATTGTCTCGGGTACGAGTTGTCTCGGGTACGAGTTGTCTCGGGTACGAGTTGTCTCGGGTACGAGTTGTCTCGGGTACGAGTTGTCCAACATTCTAAGATCAATTGAATTAAACAGATGGGTTAATTTTCAGGGATTTTTTGAATGTAGATCAAATTCAACTTGCTTTGCTTATCTCCAAACGCAGTGTCCCTGGACTTCCAACATCCGTGCAATATATCTATATTTTCGGGAGGTTTGATCTGTCTGAGCATGAAATGATCTTAACCTAAACAAGCATTACTGAAATCTTTCATAAGCACAAGTCATATCACGTCCAATGCATCATTGCATGTTTACGTCCGGCGCGCCATGAACATGTGAAACAGCTGTTTTATGGTTAACTACTGCTGAACTAAAGAGGGCGCTATTATCTTTTGTCGTCCTTACTCAAAAAGATTTTAAGTTCTCCGCACATTATTGACGATCGGCACAGAGTCATCGTATTTCCCTCCTACAGCCACAGGTACCGGTGCAGGTGGACATTATATAGAAAATGCATCAATTTCAAAATTCAGCCCATAACCAATATGGGCAAATGTGCAGTTTCGGGAAATTAAAACAAGCTTGCTGAAATTAGAACATAATATGCCCCGTCCGTCGATTTTACAGAAACAGTTAGATAAACTCACTGCTATAACATTTTTTTTTTATATGCACAGGATCAGGAACTGCTGTTCTTCGGGAGTCCTCGATTCGTATTCAACCTCAACTCTCCAAGCTGGACCTCAGTACGTGAGCTGCTTGACCACCACTCGGTCGTGTGTCAAACGTTCCCACGGATAAGCAGCGAAGAAAAAAAAAACACGGTCCGGGCAGGAATACTTGAAGGAGAAATTGTCATCCGGCAAGTACGTCCGTTGCGGCCATTACACACCCCAGCCGATACGGATCTTTACACCTGGGCTGTGTGCGTGCTCAGTTGTGAATACCGTTTGCTCAAACTTTTACAAGAAACGGAACAGCCAGTGTACGCTCTCCCGCACGTCACGGTGAGATGTCTTCAGCGATATCCACACGCCTCAGCGGGCACAAGATCTAAGATGAGCTTGTGGATCGTAAATGAACCGTACGAGCTTTCCGATGAGTGACAAGACCAACGCACTTTGGAAGACGGGACGTAAACGGCTTATAAGCACTGCGTATGCGACAGAATAAAATGTAGACGCATTATCGTTTCAGTGCCGAATGGAATGATATCGCCACTATTTTTTCCCCGACCATATAAGGAGATGTCACAGCCTTAGCAGCTTGTATTCGAACGACATTTGGCACAAACGGGGAATCCGCGCCGATCTCTGTATACTCTGTTATGGTGTCAACTCTGCTGCGACGCGGCGATGATTTGGAGGCCGCGGTGTAAGAGTGATTATATACCGACCAACATGGCATCGTACAAGTACTGGACCAGTAGCAGCCTGGTGATTCTGGTCATAGCTGTTGGGGCAAGCCTGCCACCCCTTGAACGAGACGCAATCCAGTCTTCCTCTTCATTTTGTTGGGAGGTGTGCACGTGTGACAGCATCTATCAACTGGTGAAGTGCGCTTATTTGGACCTCCCGTCCTTCCCTTTCGACACCGTGCGCAACAACACCCGCGCTCTCTCACTGCCTGGAAATCTCATCTCTTCCCTGTCGGGACAAACACTGCAGAGGTTCAGGCAGCTCCGTCTCCTCGATCTGGCCGAGAATCAGATCTCTTGGATAGCCGAGGATGCCTTCGAGGGCCAGCCCAAGTTGATGGAGCTGATCCTGAGCGACAATCACTTGTCCGGTGTGCCGGTGGCGGCGCTGCTGCCGCTGAAGTCGCTCCGGGTGCTCAATCTGGCCAGAAACAACATCACCTACTTGGGCGCGGAGAGCTTCGTCAATCTAACAAGACTGCAGACACTCTCGTTGGTTTCAAACGGTCTGCATGTGATCGACCCCGGCGCCTTCCTAGGCTTAGAAGCGCTTCGTGTACTACAACTCGACCACAACTTTCTCACAGAAATTCCAGCTGGCTCGCTGAGCACCTGCACCCGCTTGGAACTGCTCGACCTGGCATCCAACAGCATCGGCACTTTTTTCAACAGCTCCGAATCACTGGGTGAGTTTAGCGTGCGCTCGTGGTTTGCACCGACAGAACCAACCAGCCTGACGACGCTCAATCTGTCAAAGAACATCATCGATTTTTTCTCTCCTTCGTGCTTTCAGGGCATGACGAGATTGAGCGCGCTCGATTTGAGCCGGAACTACATTCAGGAGATCCCTGAAAGCCTGTTCGAAGATCTTGGAATGCTGGACACGCTCAACCTGAACAGGAACTCGCCGCTATATTTTCTTCCAGCCGGGTTGTTTCACAACACCCCCAATCTTAAGATTCTTAGGGTTAAGCACTGTCAACTTACAGATCTCCCGAAAGAGCTCTTGTATAACACCAGTCACTTGCAAGTTCTCGATTTAACCGCGAACGGCCTGTACGATGTTAATTTCCTTTCTTCCGATATCGTTCCCTTTCTGAGAGAATTACGTTTAAGCCAAAACTCGATTACACAGATTTCAGATGACCATTTGTTCGGTTTGTCAATGCTTGAAGTTTTGGACCTATCAGGGAACCAACTGACTAAACTGCCACTTCTTCACAGCCTGAGCTCGTTACAGGAATTGAACGTGGCGCAAAATGACTTATCTTGGTTAGGAGCGACCGCTTTCCGCGGTACCTCAATAATGAAGCTGGATTTGTCCTTTAACAACCTACAAAGTTTGAAAAAGTTGACAATTTTTTCCTTGCCCGATTACATTATGGCCGACATAATTCTGAACGATAACCCGTGGACCTGTGACTGCCAGCTTTTGTGGACATTGGAACTAAGCTATAAGGGCTATACTCTCGCCGACCTAATCGAGTGCGCGTGGCCTCTGGCATACAAGGACCTGCCAGGGGGAAATCTATATGTAGCGGATTACAATTATCGTAAGCTCGCACACAGGTGCACGCAGTACCCGAAACGGAAAAACATTTACATGTTGATCGGGGTGTGGTTCGGCGTGGTGGCCGCCTTGATACTACTCTTCTGGGCCGCGGCATTCGTCCATGCCAGGAGGAGATTCCGGCCTAGGCAGCCGAGGGAGAGGTTCCTTTTGTTCCGCGGTCCCACCGAGAAGACCACGGGATCCACGGTCAACACCGGTCATTCCAAGGTACGCTTTAAAGCCCTGGATTCAGAAACGGAGAGTCTGGATGATGATGAGACAACTGTGTAAGTTGGCACTGTGGCCATCTGATACACCCAGGACCAAAATGCACGGAGACTTAAAGGGATGAGCGCGGTGTCTATTCCTTTTTTTTATTCAGTCCTAAAGTCCCTTTATACGGTCAATTAATGAGACTCTAAAACTCAAAGACGAACTAGAATCGAAAACATGTTTGGCCAATTAAATAGCATCGTTAAAGGAAGTTTTCCCCAACTCTTTGCTTACCAAAATGGACGTTCAAAGTTTGGATCAGCCCAAAGTATTCGAATATTATTAGCCTTCTACCACTGAATCGACACTTGGTAAATTAAAGATATTCCCAGCTATTTTTCCCGTCGTTATTTACCATCTGAAAAGAGACTTGGCTGAGGTTTCAAGTAGGTTCCAATTATGTTAGAATCTAATTAAAGACATGAGTATTGGAAATTATCAGGAAATGCACCTACTGTATGTGAGAAAAACCTGGCTCAAAGTGAACACAGAGATGGTCCCAAATTAGGTGCAACGTTGAAAAACACAACAATAACAACAACAACAATTGTGAATTTTTCAAATTTATAGTGGTTGAGGTAAGAAGTTACGTCATTATCGTTGAGGTTTTGGTTTGTAAAATGTGTCAATAACTTCATTGAAATGAGTCAGTCACCGTGACTAGGTTTATACTACACTGCTTCACATCTGTATGCGATGTTGAACCATGGAACCGTGGTCAGAGTGTTTTTAGCGTGTGTTCTTTGCTAGCGCTTTTCTTCAGAATGGTACAATGGATATACATAAAACTTTCACCGAATATGTCCAAATATCTCATTTACACTTGTTTTGATACTTGCTACATATTTTTCTTTTACATTTTTTTTTAAATATGGGTCCAGATCATTCTGACTCACCCTGTGTGACTGGGAAAGACCACACATCCTGTACCATTTATTGTTCAAAAAACGTATCCGGCCAAATGAAGTTTGAACCGCAAACACTGCTGCACTTCTATACATTCCATTTTTATCGATCTGTTAATCTTTTTTTTTCGGGGACGACAGGACGCTTTCGTCATTTCTTCAGTTCAAGGAAGTAATTTACAAAGAGGTGGAATTTGTGTGATTTGTAAAAGGAACAAAGAGGAGGTTTTATAATGGCGTGTTTAGGTTGTGCTTTCAAATTCATTATTATCTAATCAACGGATCTATTTCAGCTACTTCCGACAAATGTTTGTTGTATCTGATGAAAAAGTAATTACTCTGTAAAAAGAAAATGTAAAGTATTTGCATAATGCAGCATAAATCTAATCTTGACTTTGAGGAAGCACATTTGAATTACATGTATCTGTATATTAAAGACCATTTTAAGTCGTTGATTCTCATCAAAAAGTGCAACGTTTTAAATAGTCCATGGTGACTACGTTTTTAGAAGTGAAGTTTTCGAAATTTTCTCAAGCATACACGCGTGTTCTTTCAGCAAAATGAAAACTATTCACATCCCTATTATGTGAATTGTTTTTGTTTTGCTGAAAGAACACTTACCTTTTCTTTTGTAATCCGTGGACAGAGCTTTAAAACGGTGTTGTGTTCAAAATTCCGTTAATTGAGAAGTACATGAGCGCATGGGCGTCGCCAGGATTTTTTCTAGAGGAGGGCACAACATATTTTTCCAAAAAATTCTTGTATTTCTCAACATATTCTCGATTTATAAGTTTTAGAGGGGGACAGGGACATTTTGCCCCCCCAACCCATTAATTTACACCACTATGACTTTGCGCCTCTTTTTCTTTTCTTTTTTCTCTTTTTTTTCTTCCTTTTTTTGTTTGTTTGTTTTTGTTTTGTTTTTCCGGGGGGGGGGGGGGCGCTCCCCTTGCCCCCCCCTCGCGACGCCCATGCATGAGCGACTCGAATGATTCTTGTACCAAAAGAAAGCTTATTAATTGGGCTTTCATATCCTAGATTTTTGAAAGTGATTTTTGAAATGGTCCTGCCATTTAGGTTTCCTTTTTTTGACTCACCCTGTGTTGTCTTTTCATTTCATAAATTTTGAGAATTAGGTAAAAATGAGACAGACTTGGATGTGGCACTTTAATAGGAAAACTTATGGGACGCATTTTGAGACGTAATGGTCAATTGATGTATATAGTTTGAGTTATTTTGATTACGTTACGTTTATAATTAATTTATCACAGAAACACCTGAAATAAAGATACGTCAGTGTGATGATAATGGTTTTGTTTTGCCTGTGAGTTGTTTTGAACTGTCTAGTGCCCCAAAACACCAGCTTTTGACGCCTTATATCATGAAGTGAATGCTCAGAAATAATTACACGCGTCAGATCTTGGTTTCAGTGGGCACAAAATGACTATTAAGTAAAACCCACCACGCGCATGTTTCTATCGGATGCCTTATGTCCTGTCTGGCAATCTTACAACCTGACAATGGCTGAGTCACGATACTTTGAGGGAACTGTGCCGACTGACGAACCTAGAGTGTCGTCGTGCACTCCAAACGCTCCACAAACAGGGGGCGCCGTAAACTTTGATATTTGCATTTTTGCTTTGATATACATGTGCACAAAATCAAAATAAATGGACGTGCCGCATGACTCGTGGTACACAGGCGTCCTGGTACACAAGACTAATGCCAGTATTCCCCAAACCGTTTATTTTTTTTTTTTCAAATAGTGCGGCATCAAAAGCGGGAGGGCGCTATTTGGTTTGGGTGAATACTCAAGTTCCAATTCTTTATGTCTATGAGTTCCAAATGGTGAATAACCATGCACAGCGCCCTCCCAGGTAACACGCTGACGTTGGCACAACGCCGTTTTGTCGGCAGGAGTCGGTCGGCCAATTCAGCAAACGGGTCGGCGTCGGTCAAAGTACGCCGCGATCGAGACGGTCGTCACCCGACGTAGTTTAGCCGCGGTCTTCAGACGTCTTGCCAGTGGTTTCCTGCCGTCGTTAATCATACCCCGACTGGATTCGGATTCCTGCTCGGAGCGGATCGGCGAAATGATTCAAAGCCGATGTCGAACTAGGTTGACGTCGGGCCGTCGTTCTGCCGACGTCGGGATTTTAGCGTCTTGTCGACGTCGTTTGTAATACGCTTTACAGATATGTCTAAAAAGGGGACAGCCAGCGCTCATCGGTATTCTGACATCGGACAATAGACCATGCACCATTGCAACCATCATGACATTGGTTTTGCGCGTCCCGGCGTACATCCGGGTACTGGCAAGTCATTGTAGTCAGTGGCGTAGCCACCGGGGGGGGGGGGGGGGGGGGGGGGGGGGGGGGGGGGGGCGTGGGGGGCGACCCCCCCCCCCCCATAAAACCTTGTCGCCCCCCCCCCAGTCGCCCCCCACTGAGATTTTGAGTTTCCAAATAAAATATAATTGATCTACATGATGCCATGGGCCCTATTATGTACTGCAATGTATCTTTTGCTTAGAAAATATTGGTTAAAGTGGTCAAAAATTGCCTCAGATAGCACCACAGAGCATTTAGAATCCAAATTTTTTAAGCGGGCCCCGAACCCCACGTCCCGGCGTACATCCGGGTACTGGCAAGTCATTGTAGTAGACAAAGATCGCACATTGCACAGTGAAGTAGTATAGGCAAGCCTTTAAAGTTGTGATGGAAGGCAAAAACTTTAAGAGAAACACCCAGTGCTAGGTCGGCACATTTATGACAACCGTACACGGCACAGGTGGTGACCAATATGCCATTTCATAAAGAATATACGAGTATATAGCTCTCATCCTTATCTGGCTCCCGTAGGAAAGCGCATGCACTTGTAAACAAAGCGTGATGTCATTATGTCTTAGGTCTATTGGCGGTTGTTTTATGTGAAAATAAGCCCTATACACTGTCTAGTTTCCATCGCACAACGTGGTTGCTAACCAAACGCTTGCAGTGCAATGATGGCTGATCACGGAGTAACCGGATGGTCACGTGGTACTTTGGCGTCATACGTTCAGAATCAATAAATCACCTCCTTTCTTGCAACTGCAATACATTTTTTTTAAAAGAGAGAAAACAAACCAGTGTCCCTTCCATCTAGAAGGGGGTTTGGTTGATCATCCTTGTAAGGGTGGTCGAAAAGTATTTTCAGTTCCCGATACTCAGCCTAAAATATGCCTATTATAATATATTAGGCCTATGTATTTTTTACGAGCGATTCAAGGTGTAGAAACTGCCAGTCACGCTTAATTTTATTTCCTGCGGTGTCAGGGGCGGATCCAGGAATTTTCGCAGGGGGGGGGGGGGGTTTCATCAGCAAAAAAATCTGAAAATGTACACAGGTTTTTTTCCCAGGACACTTGGCCTCCGTAAATTCAAAAACTGGGGGGGGGGGGGGGGGGGGGGGGGTGTTCAAATTCGATGAATATTAACACTAGATTACAGAATGGTGTACCGTATTTTAAACAGGCAAACATTATACCAGTATAACTTTTTTTGGGTGTCATAGCGGGGGGGGGGGGGGGGTTTCGACTTATTTTTTGGCATTTGTATGGAAACCATTTTTTTTGACAGAGCTGGGTTTTTTTTTTGGACCCCTAAACAACCCCCCCCCCCCCTGGATCCGCGCCTGGGTGTACAACCGCGCCAGTACGTTGGGAGAAAAGCAATGGGCGATTTTAAGACATTTTGCATTTCTGTTCGATGATGCAGCAATTTGTTTGTTTGTTTGGTTGTTTGTTTGTGTGTTTGCAAAAGCGGATTTCTGTCAAAAGCATTGCATTGGCATAATAGAACGGCGATGAAAGGATAAACTGGAATTACATGTTTACAGTAAATAGGAGCTTGGGTATGCGTGGTTACGCCTCCATTCCTTCGAATAGGAGCAGGGATCGCCCGGTTGTTCACTATAGTGAGGACACATGCCCCGTGCTGTTGCTACGCCGGTACGACCAGTATGACCACTTGATCGAGCACCGGCCCCGCCCCTGATTCTCTCCACTTGGATCTCCATGCAAATGTCTTTTTTTCCATATCTCTCGAATCGCAATGCCACTGAACAATGAGCTTCAGTAAAATACGTACAATAGGCCTTGAGTGACCTAGAAAAAAGTGTCACACTGGAAATAAATACGTCAATAATTCTGCATAAAAACACGTGTTCGTGTTTGGCATATTGCACTGACAGCACTTTGGCTATGAATCGCCAATGATGCGGAACAGCCCGGCTGCACAGACGTGAATAAAACTCACCGTACCAACCACATTCCACTTCGTAACACCAACAGAGCACTAAATTAACTTAACCGTTTTCGGTCGCGATATGAGCGACTGACGGAGCTATTAGGGGTGTCTCTGGTCGGGAAATACGGCGGTTGCATTTGCCGTAACAGACGGGGAAAGCAACACTCCGGTACGCGATATCAGCACCCTTCCCGACAGCGAAATTAAGAGCGACAAGTGTGCATGTGGGACGATCACGGGACAGACAGCGATACTCATGAACAGTGCCTAACGCCCACTGTTCAAAGCCAGTCAGTTTGTTGGAAAAGGAATACACTGCATGGGACACAGGCCATGTGGAAAGTGCAACTGGGATCATGCAAAAAGAAAAAAAAGAATTAACCGAATGAGATAATATTCGATCAGCGACGCAATACGACAAGTTATATCCCTGTGGTCTATCGTGTTATTGGGGGAACCAAACACTTTCAACGACAGACACTAACGGAATTGGTTAACAGGTATGTTCATAAACAGACAGAACGCTTTCTGGTGAAGTTAAACATTTCCAACTCGAACTTACTACATTATGATTTTAGTGGGCGGTTCCACCTTTTGAAATTCAGAGGGCTTTCTTCTTTTTGCGTGATAATTTACATCAAAACACCTGGATTTGACTTGAGAAATCAGCATGAACTGTTGTGGAAAACGCTCGTCCTATTTCACATATTTTAGGAGTTTGTTCTTTTTGCTCGTGGTGGCCATTCCCCACATAGGAAAGGTCGTCTGTTTTGAGGAGATATTCTGTCCTCTGTCATGCGTATGTGACTTCGACCTGTTAGTCGCGAACTGTTCGGGAATGGGGCTCTTTGACGTAGACAATGTTGCTGTGGATAGTTCATATAACTGGACAGAGTCTCTAGATTTTAGTGGCAACTTCCTTAGCGCGGTCGACCTCGACACTCTCTCCGGTTTCCCGAGTCTCCTAGACCTTTCACTGGCCGGGAACGAAATTCAGGACATCACTAACGGCAGCTTCGGTTTACTGGAAAAGAGGCTTCATCGGCTTGTCCTTGGAGGTAACATGCTGTCTAAGGTACCCACGGCGATCCGCGAATTGCGCGCCTTACGGGAACTAGATCTATCAAGAAACAATTTGTGGTATCTGGCCGGAGATAGCTTCGAGGGCCTGGATGTGCTGGAATCGCTCAACCTTGACCATAACAGCATTCATGTCTTCGACGGGGCAGCCTTCCGCGGTCTGACCTCGCTGAACAAACTCTCGTTGACGGAGAATTTTCTTGCGGAGGATCCAGTGGACTGGTTTGAAGATTGTCCCATGCGCGAGCTCTATCTCTCGCACAACGCGGTTCCCCTGGCAAGCGAAGTCCGCACCTGGTTCGGACCAAACGAAACCACGTCTTTGGAGCATCTAGTTCTCATCAACAACAATATAGATATAGTAGATGGTCGATTCAGGGGAATGGTGAACTTGCTGAAGTTGGACCTGGGGAGAAACCAAATCAAGTCAATCACAAAGGAAAGCATGGAAGGGTTGCCCAACCTCGTCGAGTTGATTATAAACTCCAATTCGTTGATGTTCATCGACAAGACAAGTTTTCGGAATATGTTCAACCTACAATTCTTGTCAATCGATGAGAACAAGTTGGTTAGTCTTCCTGGTGGACTGTTTGGTGCATCGAAACGACTGACGCGATTGAATGCAGCACGCAATAATCTGGAAGACATCTCGGCCATTACGGACGAGTACCTACCAGAGCTGGCAGAGCTGTATCTATACTCCAACGCCATCCAACACATCGCGAGTCAGGGGTTCACATCGCTCCCGATGCTCTCGCAGCTAGTAGCCGGTGACAACCTGCTCTCGCACGTCCCAAACGTGACGAACCTTCCCGAGTTACAAACCCTTGAGCTTAGCCGGAATGAGATCCACTCCGTCTCGCCCACTGCTTTCAGAGGCAGCCACTCGCTCCTGCAGATCTACTTGGAGCAGAACCAGCTCGAGTGGCTTCAGTACGAGACATTCGCAGAACTCTTTTACCTGGAGAAGCTGTCACTGTCGCAAAACGCCTGGTGGTGCGACTGCCGCGTCGAATGGATGCAAGACCTCATGTTCGCGGAAAATCCTCCATTCTGGGTGAACGATATCATCGATGGGGTCTACTGCTCAAAACCACCCGAGCTGAGCGGAGCGGCCCTTGCGGAAGTGACGTCAGAGGAGTTGGTCTTGCGCTGCCCAAACCTCCTGAACCGGAACGTCATCTTGGTCCTCCTGGGCTCATGGTTCGGCGTGATCTTTCTCTTCGTGGCCCGGTTTTGGTGCCGCAAGTTCTCCAAGGCTCGAAAGAGAAAGACGATCGGCAGGCGGAATATCAAATACCAGAGGCGCCAAGAGCGGAGTAGAGGCACCGGGATCTTCGGGAATCACCTACGGGGCCACGGTCCTATCGGCTGGTCAGATTCATACGCCTTGATCCTCCAGAATACGGATTATGATGAACATAATGGTGGTGGTGGCAATAACGGTAACGGGAAGATTAACCGCGGGGAAAGGGTTGAAATTGCCAGGGTCACAACTGTGTAACGGAAAAGTGTTGACTTTCATTTTTATATTTATTTTGAAAATGTTTTTACAATTTTAACACCTTTCAGATTTTGTGGAAGTTATGACAGTTGACTCGCCATATTCGTATTATAGGCCTACGGTTTTCGACAATTTTCTGATCAGCAACTGATCTAACAAATATTTGCAAACGAGCAAAACAAATGTATTTCGCCTCTCTGACACACTCAGTGGATGGCACCAGGATATACTGTAAATATTAAAGTTTTTAATTTTTTTTTATAAGTGGAACAATTTCACAAAAACACCAAAGGAAAACAAATTCGATAAAACATGCACTCTATGACTCAATGTCAGATTAATAGCATAATTATGTATATAGTCGATTGCTCTTCAAATTTATCAGATCTGTATTAACGTAATTAATCGTAAATACATGTATATCGAAAACAATAATTTATTATAAAAAGCAATAGTGTCAATGGTTGTCTTCCTAATTGAATCAAACAGTAATATCAACTATTACGTATATATTAATGACTTCGATAAAGTATGCATCCTACTTTAAAAATGCCCCAGCTTGCATTATAACAATGAATTTGAATTTGAACATTTACTGCATGTTGGTAAGAGATACATTTACACTGACAATTAATAATGATATTATAATTGTATGCATTACATAACAGTTTTCTGCATAGTTAATTAATAATCAGCTAATTACCAACATGTAGGGATACACATGAACCAAACGCGTTCAAGCTTATCCCTACACAAAACAACACCAAAATTAACAAGCAAAAGTACATTACCAACCACAAGACGCTTTAATTACGTTAAGTGAGACCTGACAAGGTTGCATCAATATATGTAAAACAATACTATTAAAATCATCAACATAGGGAAGCTCTCAAGGTTCTACATTATGTGCTTAAAATAAATTGTTTTAGTTTCCTTGAGAAAAAAAATGTAGTGTGACAGACTCCTTCAAATGTACGCTTAAATCATTCCATAGCAATTAATATACCATTTGATGTCAGATTATTATTTTTAATTGAGGTACGATTGTAGTTGATGTAGAAATTAACATTGGATGCCCCGATGAAGACAAAGTAAACATTTTAGTCAAATTCACTGGAGGTTTATTCATGTTTAAATTTTGAACATAAATAGGTCATTGAATATCAGTACTTGTAATTCTGCATATAATGTATGATCTAAGAACGGTGATTTGGTAATTATTCTGACAGCTTTCTTCTGTGATAAGAACAGTTTATTACATTGTGAAGTTGCGCCACCCCAAATATGAATACAGTAACTTAAATGTGAAGGGACAAAGGAATTGTAATGTGTTAAAAGAACAGTACTTGGTGTGAAAAAAACCTTCAAACGGTTCATCACACCGATGTTCTCTGAGATCTTGCGTGAAAGAATATCTCAAATGTTTGATCCAAGACAGATTTTCTGGGGTACAAAAGATTTATAGAGAACTTATTTGATGAGAACTAATCGTGTTTTTTTTATAACGTCCATGTTTATTCGCAGCAGTCTTTATGTTTGCATGCTTATAATTACAGCACTGTGGTTATTTTTTGTATCATCCGTAAACAAGCAAAGTTTAACCATATCAGATGAATTACAGATGTCATTAATATAAATAAGAAACAATAATGTTCCAGTAATGGTACAATCATCGAATCTTTGAGTTCAAACGCATAACGCTCATTTATTTATTCACACATATACTTCAAATTTAAAGAAAATGTGATGGACAAAAATCTACTATTTTGTTTTTAAAGTTACAATGGTTGTGTAATAAAATGGCATGCATTTTATGTTGTAATTTTTTTTAAATGAAGTATTAATATTTGTATTTCAGTCAACATATAAATAGTTTTGAGTTATTTTTCTTCCAAGGTATGATAAACGCTTAATATTTCAATAGTACACCGATCCAATGTTTCGACATATAATTATTCAATGATGTTTTTAGGCATGCGCATTTTTGGCCCAAAACAAACCAACAAACTAATCGCAGAAAGACTAGTCTGCAATAATCCACTTCGACTGGTCCTACATTTACTCTAAGATAATCTGTTCACCTAATAAGCGAGTAGCATGGCAACGACATTGATCAGATTATTGCGACATTATGAAGAATACGAATATATTCGTATTCTTCATCATGTCGCAATAATATAATCAATGCTAAAAGAAATATTTTTTGTTTTAAAGGTTGATGTAGGACAAGGAGATCAAAATGAACACGATTGATTTTGCAAACGATCGATCTAATCCAGCACAGCTGCAACTGACAGAAAAAAAAGAAACGCACCGAACTGTTGCATGGAAAACTTGACAGCATTCTGCTTAAACAAAGCAATTTTTCTGGTATGACAAAGAAACAGTAGCGGTAAGGTTGAAGTTAATTTAAAAAACAATCAAGTGAACAAACAACAACCCGACCGGAGACTTCTAGATTTTTGGGTCGGCCGAATGAGGGCAACACAAGATTTTTTGGGTGGGGTGGGGAGGGGAGGGGCGTTGGGGTGGGGGGGGGGCGTTGGGGTGGGGGCCTTATGAAATGATTGGTTTTCTACATGTGGGGTGCATTTAGTCACTCATGGGGAAATTTTCAACAAAGGAAACACCTCTTTAGTCTCATTTGATCAGTCCACTGTCGGAAAATAACCTGTTTGTGTCGGTGATATGTTTGGGCATCAGACATTTGGCTAGCTGCGGTTTTTAATGCAATCCTATCCCCAAAGTAAATTAAATGCTGGTATATTTAGAAAATAGCAGTCACTGTTAAAACTACTTCATCAGCGGTTCATGTCCAACTTGATATCCTTATAATTGTAAATGAGACTTTACCCAGCATATATGCAAAACGCTAAACAATTTTTGGCAAAACCGGGCATAATTTGAAACGGATACTTTTTTTACGGAAGTAAAGTGACTTTGTTGGCTTCAGATATCTTACCGTTGAAAAGAAAAAGTAGTGTTCGGCCAGCTTATTTTCGAGTATACAATCACAATATATTTGTCCTAGAGAAGGCAACTTACTGCGTGCCACACTACTGCTGGATATGGAAGCATTACATAACGTTAAGACCTTGCAAAAAGTGGGTTTTTGTATATGCAAATCGGACCCAAAAATGACAGAAGTTCAGAACGACGTGGCACACAGAAACCGAGGGCAACAGCGAGAACAGAGGTTTGTATTTCTTTGAAAACGACCTTCATTGTTCAAACGTTCAGTATTTTTTTTCCCACTGTGTCACGGCCTTATGATTTCCAGACTCATTGAAAAAAAAACCCGTAGGCTCAGACGAACAAAATGAATGGTTTCTTCAGGGATCGTCTCTTGCACATTTTCCTCGTGAAAGGTTATCGAAATATTTGGATTATATTAGACCTTGACGTTGCTGCATTCATTACCTTTTTTATCATAGGTCTATAATGCCGAAATTTGTAGACTGTCCCAAATGTTATAACCATGGGCGTCGCGAGGTGGGGGGCAAGAGGGAGGGGGCGCTTGGCCCCCCTGGACAAAGGGGACAAAAGCGAAAAAAAGAAAAAGAGGGGCGAAATCATATTGTTGCTAATTTAATGGGTTGGGGAGGGGGCAAATATCCCTGCCCACCCTCTCAAAATGATCAATCAGGAAAATGCTGGAAACAAATAGGGATTTTGTGGAAAAACATTTGCTTTGCCCCCCTCTAGAAAAAATCCTGGCGACGCCCATGGATATAACTAACACATTGCTTAAAAATCGAGTATCCCACTCCTTCCGTACACTCAGAATTCACTACACTTTGTTTTCAATGCACCAAATGTGTACCCATGTGCACCTGCAATATGGCTGTCATGGCAAGGGTCTATCAGTGTTGAGGTTGCTTTTTCACGGTTTTTTTTTAGTGATTCAATGTCTTGCAAAGAACAGTAAACAAAACCGTATTCACCGTTGAACGTGTATACATGACACGAGCGGCGACAAAAGAGTGAATTATAAATCGGTGTCATATGAACATCAGACTCCATGAACATCAGACTCTTTTTTTCCTCTTATTGGTTAAACAATCTCACGTGACTGGTCACCTCCTGTTTACTTTCGCTTAGGCATGCGCAATACTACAACGAGTCCGTATTTCATAGAAGCCTAAATTCCCGCTACACCGGCAAGTTGGGCAGTTGCACTGTGTAGCGCATCACGAGTATATAGAAATAACGTAAACCGTATTATGCTAATTGATCGATATACCTGGTGTTTATACACGCTTTATATTCATACACTCAGTGAAACATCTGTTGAAATTGAATTTTCCCATAATGTCCCAATGATAATAATAGAGTACGTTCCAGCAGACATGCAAATTACCAGAGTGCACTTTTCTCCCATGGACATAATATAACAATTGAATGCAATGAATACAATTTCGAATGAACTTTCTTTTGACATAGCCTAGGCCCTACTCTTTTTAGTTGTTTCTTGTTGCCTGCAAGTCGTAATGCCTTCAAACAATAATATTATTGTTCTTTCAACAAAAATTAATTATTCAGTCAGGAATCGTCAGGTCCTTGTCTGTTTTCCACAGCCAAACCTGAAACCTTATGACGCACTAGTATATTTTATTAAGCTACCCGACACTTCATTAACAAATGCCAATAAATCGAATTATATTTTAGAGTTATTACGGTTGGAGCATGGTTCATTTGATCATATTCCTCAGTTTTTACACTTGATCAGTACATTAAAACTGCTAAGGCATTTGTTCAATGCAAGGAATGGAAATGGTAATGGACCGGTGCAAGTGACAGGATATACATTGCATACCAGCAACTATATTGAAAGCACCACTTAACCAACAAACATAATCAAGACCCTCGTCGGTGAACATGGCATATTAATCATTCTGAATATTCAATAGACCTTTATCATGCTGCCACCATTGTAGTCATGCTCCCTGTATCCAATAACAGTACTGAATGATAATGATTTTTGTGCAAAAAAGGAACCAGTCGAGACTATTTTCCCTTCATCTCTCGCTATAGTTACATTGATTTGAATGGAAAAAAAATCAAATGACTGCAACATGATAATGGTCCATACTATTATCCGTGTTGTAGTCGGTTCCTTTCTGAATGATTATTTATAAAGGCTTCCAGCCGTAAAAAAATAGATCAACGTATTGTATGCTTTTGTAAAACGTACCCGGATGACAGACAGCGCGCCCTCATCCAGGCATTTTCGCAGGTTCCCGCACGATCAAGAGCCTAGAAACCCACAGTTGTCAACCACTCAACAGAGCGTAGCGCGCACGCAGCGAGCATGCAGCGAGCATGCAGAGCGCAGGTGTACGTATACGCGCACTGTTGTCAATAATTACAACATTTGTCAATGCAGCTTAAAATAGTTTGATGAATAAGGAGAAATGAAGACAGTGTCTTGAATTGTATTTCTTGCGCATCAAGTCAGCTGATATAAATAATAATAATATTGAATGACTTTTTTTCGGGATACAAGAATAAAATGCACTCATCTTCGACTCGTGCAATATTGTCACGGCTCGTGCAATATATTCTTATTTCCACGTCAAAGCCATCCAATATTACATAAATATAACGGGGAAGAGGACCCAAACCTGCGAGTTCAAAGTATAGAAAACCGTGTGGTCTTGGTAAACGAGTCATGCTGTAACTTTAGTGTCCAAAGTGCGATAGTTTTCCTGTCCTTGTTACCCTGGTACTTTTGCCATTCAAGTATCTCACAAAGAATTGTTTCAAAGGTTTTAAAACAATTGTTAGGTGGGTAGTTGCTATTAAGAATCACTCCCAGAGAACGGCTGCACTAAGGAGTGCATACAAATAATATTATAATGTCAGATGTAACAAGGACAGGAAAATAACTTGACCCGAATTTATAGCATAACCTATTATATAGGCTTTTGTGGATAAGCGAGTATTTTGCTCATAAAAGGTTTATCAAATTATTTGCAAAAGATATGATGCTCCATTTTAGTTGGACCTTTCTTTCACGCTATGGTGTGAGCTTATAAACTCGCACTCCTTATATACCTATAATACACATCCAACACCGTGTAGGTCTATTTCGTAAATGCATGACTCGGAAAAACTCGACGATAAACAACTACCAGAGAAATGACAGAAATGCGGGCTAAAACTAAACGCTCTAGTACTCGAAAGGGGTCAGATAACTAAACGGGTCATAAAATCAGTATTGTAAACTATGGCATTTGGTCCAAACAGACAACAACGGCTAGAAGACAATTATTTTCTGGTCTGCTTTAACAGCGCAGTACGATTGTATATATATATATGTTTCCTGCGAGTTCCCTTTTCAGGTTGCTTAATTAGTAACACCTGTGCTTTTATTCACATTAAAACCTTGATTGTAACCAAAAGTTCATTAGCAAATGCTGCTCTTGTGGCGATTTTTAGATCTCTTTTCGAATTGTATAATATTAAAATGTAATCAAAGTGTCCATTAGTCGTATACATGTATTAGTTTCCGAGTTTAAATGGAAACAAAAATTGCTATTAATTTCGTACTGAATTAAATAGCAACTAAATGACAAAATTGGTGCACAAGCATGCAGTATTGCATTGAATTATATGTATTCCCATTTTTTTTTTAACAGCAACGCATGCATATGATGGTGATGTCTTTGTTCTTGAATTATAATATGTTACATGTTCTTGCAAATTTGGATGCCTGTTACAAAATGTTCTCATTGATGAACACAAAACCATCAGAAGTTAAAAAAAAATTGGGTAAAAATAGGAAGCGTGTATTTTTAGTTTTAACAATTAAATACAATTGGATACCTTCCTATGTTGTTCTGAGAAGACTTTGAAAGAATTCATTAACACTTGCCAGAATATCGAGGAGGCGTTATCAGTATCGATATGCATTATAGATAGAGTTTAGATGGAGGGCGCTGTTCACTGCTTTAGATTAGCGTTCTGATTTATGTCAAGTTAAACTTGTCGATGGTACCGGTATCATTTTTAATACAAGGCATTTCCAATGCGAAAATTATATTCGAAACACACTAAGGCACAATCCAACCTGTAAACTACCAGTAAAGTCAATAGGGTGACGCCTTTTTAACAAAGTAACGTTGTTTGTATAATGTTCATTTACTTTTCCTATATCCAATTCCCTTAATAATAATATAGTTATTCATGGCAATTCAAACACATTTTGAAATATAGGTTTTCCCGACTATTTTAAACATTTTTCATTCAAATTCACCAACTCTAACATTCAATTTCGAACGAGAAATATGGCACTAGCTTTTAACAAAACCAGTTTAGTCATTTACCATTCAATTTCAATATCTGGTCACCCTCTTAGTCACCGGTCGAGAATATTCGTCACAGCAGATCAAATTCGTCTAAGCTGTTGCCGAATGGCAGAATTCAGTGATCAAATTCGTCTTATATAAATCAATTAGATGAATTCGATTTCTGAATAACAAGGTTTGGCCTCGACGAGACGAAATCAAATACTCCGGGACGAAAACGTGTGCTCGTTGTTTGAATTCGCTTGAACCTAATTGGAAATTGTCTGAAAAAAGACGAAATTAGACATTGGAGCACTGAATCGATGTTGATGGACGAATTTAAACATTAGAAACGGTGAATTCGAATGATAAACTTTTTTAAATAGTCAGGAAAACCTATAGTAACAAATGAGAAAAAAAATAGAAAATATGTTGTGGTCGAGTCATGTCGCAAGAGTAATTCAATGGTTAATTCACCAGTCATAAGTATTACAGAGGATGAACAATGACAAGGAATGCTATTGTAACAGTTCATTATGTGACAAGCTTGATGATTTGTGATCGACTCGGCGACTTTTGAGGACTTGTGTTTTGACGGACACGACTACAACAATGGATATACGACTTTTAGTCATTCTAGCTATGATGTTCAGACTGTGCTAGTTACAGTCACTGGTAAATCTGGATTATCAACACTCTTCTTCCGCTTGGGTTGTTCCGTGATCTGCGACTGCCCTTGCTCCGGCGTTTCGATTTCATCGTCGTCATGACCTCTTGCGCTCGTCAACACATACGTCGTGTCAGTGGTGGTGCTTTTGTCCAAATCCTCGAAGGTGGCGCCCTCGTTCAAGCATGCAGCCGACGAGGGCGCTTCTGGAGCTGGAGACGCTTGCCGTGCCTGCGGTACCTTCTTGACGACTTTGGCTTTCATCCTGCGACTGACATAGCCCTTTCGATAACTAATGAGGCGATTCAGGTAGCAGCCTAGAGCCACCGAAATGATGACAACCCAGATGGCGACAATGATGACGATACTCAGCCAGTCCGCCGTCTCGCACGGGGAGAACGGACCGCTGTTCCCTCGTTCCTTACCGTCAAGAATATACAGCGAGTGCAAGTTGAGGTTCTTGGCAACATCAGGCGCTATGCAGAACACGTCCTCATAGAGGGCGCTCCTCCAAGCCAGATCTTCACCCTCCGGGTCACGGATCCAAAACATTCGGCAGTCACAGACCCACGGATTGCCGGTGATTGTCACGACTTCCAGGGCAGGCAAAAACTGGAAGTTTTCATAGGACATCGTCGTCAGCAGATTATCGTTGAGATAGAGAAGCCTCAAGGAGGTTCCGTTGAAAGCGTACGGCTCCATCTCACGAATGGCATTGTCGCTCAGATTGAGAATTTCCAAGTTGGAGAACATTCGGATGTCAGGTACGTCGGTCAACCAGTTAGAGTTCAGATAGAGGTTTTTAATTGCGGGTAGGAGAAGGGGGGAGTCAGCCCCGCTTGAGAAATTAAACAAATTCGTGAATTCGTTTCCCGCCAAATTTAGGCTCACTGTTTGTTCGAGACCCTCGAATACATTCCGTGACAGCACAGTCAGTGAGTTATCCATCAGTGAGAGACTGAGGAGGTTTTCAGTGTACAAAAACAGATCTTCGGGTATATCGGACAGCCGGTTTCTGTCGAGTGTTAATTCTTCCAGCTTTGTCAAATCGGCGAAACTGAGCGGCGCTATGGTTTCAATCTCGTTCCCGCCAAGGTGTAGCTCTTTCAAATTCGCGCAGCTCCTGAAAGTTCTCTCCAAGATCTGTTGGATGGCATTTTTGGCAAGATCCAACTCCTCCAATGGAAGAATTTGCCACGTGACCCCAAACCAGTCCTCGACGCTCGCGGACAGCGGGATCCGATTGTTAGATATGCGCAGTTTGGTCAGACGAGTGCTGTTGGCGAACCAGCCAATGGGGTCTGCGCTTATGAAATTGTGGTCCAAGTAAAGAAGCTCCAGATTGGCTAAGGGATAAAAAGTGGTTTCTGGAATGGAGTACAGGTTATTGTTCTCAAGTCTCAGCGTATGCAGCTGCGTGAAACTCTTGAAATCCTCGGTAGAGACAGAAGACAGACCATTGCTGCTTAGATTAAGAACTCTCAGCAATGCCAGCACATTCAAAGCAGAAGGTACGACAGCCAATCTGTTACCGGACAGGTCCAAGTATTTCAGTTCCCTCGTTCTATCGAAGGACCCAGATTCAACATAAGCAATCTGGTTATTCTCCACAGAAAGGCTCAGCAGTGAACCCAGATTTCCAAATGTGTCCCGCAGCATGGCGGTCAAAAAGTTCCCGCCAAAACTGAGCGATGACGTCACATTGGAGATGTCATCCTTGGGGACAGCGCGAAACCCGAGGGCCGAGCAGTTCACGGAGAGTTTTGTTGGGTCACAGTTGCAGAGAGAAATGGTGTCTACGCAAACGAAGAGATGACCTTCTGCCGGTCCTATAATTACAATGTAGAAGATACACAACCACAGAAATTGCAATGTTGAGAATTTCTCCATGCTACGGTGTTCCTTCCGCATTAAGTCCAGAGCTGCTTCTACCAAATACTTCTGCGTCTTTTCTGTGTGTAAAAGAACATGTTTGAATGTTTTGAGTCTGTTTCAAATTGACCATGGATGTCTTCAGAAGTCATAGATTGTTTTCTTCTGGCATTTTAACTTGCTGTTGGTTTTGCTTCCCTGTTTAAGTACTTGTCTTGTTCTCTGTAACACTTTAAGTAACTTTAAGTATTATTATTGCCTACATTTTATATTATAGTTTTGTTGTGAGGTGCTTTGAGGTATTTTACATAAAGCACCATATTAATGCCCTTTATTATTATCATTTTTTAAAATTATAATTATAGAGCTACCTTCCTATAGATCTGTGGTTCATTAGACTGTAATCAATATAATATCGAAATTTTGCAGGTATTATTCTTTCAGAGGGAGTTTGATCTACTTGTGGTTTTGCAACAACATTTTATTTTGAAAGATTCTTTTTATAATGTGTTTGCGTTGGTATGATATTAATACTTAATTAACTTGCATGCATGGTATGATTTTAGCACTTGATTAACTTGCATGCGTGGTATATTAGCACTTGATTAAAATTATCGTGCATGGTATAAGATATTAGCACTTGATCGTAACTTCCATGCATTGTATGATATTAGCACTTGATCAACTTGCATGCATGGTATATTAGCACTTGATTAAATTTATCGTGCATGGTAAGATATAGCACTTGATCGTAACTTGCATGCATGGTATGATTTAAGCACTTGATCAACTTGCATGCATGGTATATTAGCACTTGATTAAATTTATCGTGCGTGGTAAGATATTAGCACTTGATCGTAACTTGCATGCATGGTATGATTTAAGCACTTGATCAACTTGCATGCATGGTATATTAGCACTTGATTAAATTTATCGTGCATGGTAAGATATTAGCACTTGATCGTAACTTGCATGCATGGTATGATTTAAGCACTTGATCAACTTGCATGCATGGTATATTAGCACTTGATTAAATTTATCGTGCATGGTAAGATATTAGCACTTGATCGTAACTTGCATGCATGGTATAATATTAGCACTCGAGTAACTTGCATACCTGATGCAAAGAACCAGCCCCATAAAGGGGACAAGACATTAATATCCGTTGTCCCGAAATGTAAGAAATAGTGGGACAGGAAGCCCCACTCTACAGTTCGTTACTTCACAAACTTCAAGGCAATTTAACATTCTCCAACATTCAAACATTCATTTCAAAAGCCAAGAAAAATTCAAGGCAATCTCATGTCACTTTTCAGATAACTTAAAGCAATGCTCACCTACATGTATTTTGGAGCCATGCGTGATGGAGTTGGACTATCGTGGTGTATTACATGTATATCCAGGGATGAGATTGTCAATTTAATTAAAAAGTCTGCAAATTGGATGACAAGTCAGAAAAGGTGTCTCTCTTTCTACACTGATGGCTTTCTATCAGACTCAAAAAGTCTGATTTCAGACAACTGTCCGAAAAATCTCATGCCTGGTATTACTTGTATATCTAATCGTTCTCTTCCACCAATGAGGTTTTCCTCTCAACAGCCCTCGGAGTAAAATTCTCATCGTTTGAAATCGCCAATTGCAAGCAACATGGATGCTCGCATTGTAAACAGACACAATCACTTACAGTACTCTTGTAGCTCACCTGCATGTACATGTACAATGTACTGTATATTGTACATAGACAAACACACATGCAAGCTAACTCACCTGTAATTATACTGCATGCGTGATTCCAATCTTTCTTGCTGTACACTCAAGGTGTTGTGTGAATCGCGGTCTCTTTTCCTGATGAATGGACCACAGTTTGACCGCCTTCATATATGCTTACCTCAAATGATTATCAATTAACTAAGAAATGTTTTTACGCAGGTAGGGAATTATGTTTCACCGTATATCCTTGATTAGAGATCGATTTGGAAGTTTGACGCGAGTTGATCGAAGGTTTGACGGTTGGTACTCGAGTTGCCGTTCAGAACGTACGCAAACTCAGTCGTACTTCTAATGTCCGATTCAGTTTGTAATTCTCGCCATGGGGTCCGTTTCTATAGACAGTCAAGTTCACTACGGGAGTCGAGTGTCGGAGACCAGTGGCTTATTCACTTCACAATGGAGGCTGTCAAAATGGTTCCCTAAATAACTTTAATACACGTACATGTACGTAGACTGGCTTACCAGTCCTGTTCACGGTGTACAAGGGGAATCAAAGTTGGCCGCAGGCCCATGCATAGATTAATTGAGGTTTCCTCTTCCCAAATCTTGAAAACACTATACATTTTTGTAAAGACGGGAATTATAAATGGGACGGTCGTTAAACATTTTTAAGGCAAGGAAAGTCTTGAACGCTCTTGATTTCCACAAAGAGTATGAGTCAATATTCATACATAGGCTCCATGATATGAGTGAAGCGAAATTAATTTTAGCCCAAAACATACCAATATTCTGAAATGACGTTTCCTTAGTAGTAGGCCTATGTGATTACAACACTCTTCCTGTTCGTCGTCACGTTCATCACGGATTGAATATTGCGAACAGTTGTTGTGGCTGGGATACAGTCTACGATCATGATGATTCTATTCACCGAAGTTGCCACTCAGCAACCGTGACGTCGTTCTAGCGCCAGACAACCATTTATGGGAGCACAATGGCAATTTGCATTTGTATTGTGCACTGCTGCCTATCTGTTTACTTTCTACATTGTGGTTCACTTGATGTCGGTACTGAATACACCAGAGTGCAGGCACATGTAGTTTGAATGCAGGTAGTTTCTGACACAGAAAACCTGTTTAAGCCTGGACTTTCATGCATCCAGCCTTAGGTGTTACACAGAGCTGGCAGCACTACGTTTATAAACCGGAAGGGTACATTATGTTTTGTGGATGGGAACTTGGGAAGGCAACCATTTCTGGGTATATCAACAGGCGAAAAATATACAGGTGTACAATTAACTTTTGTATTAAAAGGTTAAAAAAAGAAACCAGTTGACCCTCCAGTATGCTAACTGCTTTACAGTTGTCAGAGTACAGAAGTTCCTCCAACGGCAAATAAAACTTTCAGCTTGTGCGAACAATACTAACGCATGCAGGCCCGTACAGACCAGGGAGTGTCTGTCTCCACTGGTAGGGTTAGGGATAAGTTGAAGGTGGGAACATGATGAAGACATTTACCGACCGGCCACTAGCCTGCCCTCCGACTGCGAACTCGTGAAGATGGAGGAGGCTGGGCGCTCTTTTCCCTTCCCCACTTTTCTTTCATTTTCCTTTCTGTTAAGTATAACTAGCATGGACGTTCTATTAAAATTAAGCATTGTTTTTCACTTCTATGTGACTTTTGCCATACAAATTCGATAGACAGATGCTTTAATTTCGTTCCGCAACACTGATCGATTTAATTGTTATTCTAAATTTTACATTTGCACCACTTGGATTTCACAATTTTTAGTGTAGTCTTTGAAAAAAACTAACAAAATTAATATTGAGTGTAGTCTTTTTTTTTTTTTAAACTAACAAAATTAATTGTGTTTTTTTTGGTCATTCACATAAAATTCTTTGGTCGTTCCATTCGTTTGTGGCAAGCTGACAATCCCTGTAAAAAGAAAAAAAAAAACCTTTTCAATAGCTTCGACTTTTTTCGTGAATACTTACGCAAATGTATTACCATTTAGTTGATGATATGAGAAAGTATGCACGAATAATAACGCATGGCTCATTAGCTTCGACAAATTCGATAGAAAGACACTTAAATTTTGTTCTACAATACTGTTCGAAGTAATTGTTATAGCTTCAAGTTTACCGTTTACACCACTTGGATTTCATATTGAATATTTTCCGTGAATAATTTGGCAAATGTATCACCATTTTGTTAATGGTTATAGAAATCATGCACGAATAGTAATGAATGGTTCATTTTGCTTTGATTTTCATGTTTATTTCAATAAAATGGAAAGAACAACACAAATGCTTCTCGTAAGTGGAATAATGTAATTATGGGCAACAAAAATGTTTGTTAGACAGTCATTGTCCCAACATTATAGTTGACAGTTCCCAAATTAAGTTGGAGCCATGGTCCAGTGTAAGCCTAACATTTTAATTCGTCAATCTGCCTCGCCATGTACAAAGAATGCACATGCTGAATAATGGCCAAAGCACAAAAATACGTCACCGAAAACAAACCATAATTGATTTTGTCTAATACAAATTAGACGAACATGGCGAAACCCAGACGACTTATACATTTCTTTACCTAATCTTTTCTAAATTACAGTCCATCGGTACAACATTTAAATTGAAATTAACGACACCGTAAAAGGTAATTAAAAGTATATATTCTTCAAATTTATATGATGCAAGGGCGTAATTGCCCCCTCCTACTTTTTGACCCGGGGAGGGGGGGGGGGGCATTGGATCAGCCCCTGGCAGATTTTTGTGGTGAGAAACAAATACATGTTGTATTATGATTGCAATTTTAAGGTTATCTTGCAACTTTCCAATAGAATGTGTTTCATGTTCGGAAAATCGGAGAACAAACAGTAAAGACGTTTGAATCACGAACAGCGCCCTATAGTGTTATGTGTTGTCCAGCCCAAGCCCCCACCCCAGCGCCCCCACCCCACTTTTCAAATTTCGACGGCCGGGCACTTAGGATTTTTGGTCAACCCCCATCCCCCAATCCCCACTCGCCGACACGGTTTCACGCCACTGGTATGATTTGCTGGGTGCTGTGATCCAATGGTTACGGTGTTCGACTCGTGTGCCGTGGTACATGAGTTCGAATCCTGACCGTGGGAACATGGTGCTTGGGCTCTTAAGCAAGGCACTTTACCATTATTGCTTCGTCCTTCGGATGGGACGTAAAGTCGTAGGTCCCATGTGTTGTGTAATGCACGTAAAAGAACCCAGTAACACTTATCGCTACAAGAGAAGGGGTTTGCCCGGGGTTTCTGGCAGTGGCTGCAATATGCGCCGTAGCACCTTGTCAACCCTTATAAGGTGCTACATAATGGGTCTCATTATTTCTCATATACTTTATTTACCTTTCTTTAATAATAGACATAATAACCAGCGCCTTGAGTACCTAATTGTTGGTAGATACGTGCGCTACATAAGACTCCGTTATTATTAATATTATTATTATTATGCAAGTATGAAAATAACCAGGAAAATCAACTGATTTGTTTTTAATGGAGGTGCGTTGAGCTCCCCCCCGTGCTCCCTCTATATTCGCCAGTACACTAGGCTGGCTGTGGGCCTGCACAGTCATACTTATACTGTTCGTTGACAGACAATCGAGTTTGTTGCAAACCGTCTCCAAAGCACGAATATGTGGCAAAACAGAGGAACTGAAACGGCACAAAGCATTTGCGAAAATAACAATAACCGATAATTAACAAGGTATCTACTATAACATAATACAGATTGGCTAACATTGATGATAAAGGGACCGGGAACCAGACTATCGGTGCCTTAGGCAGATCTGTCTGAGCGCAAAGGCAACCCAAAAGTAGTACAGAAGATGTATATGGTTAGAGTGTAGTAGATGGCACGTTACAGTGTTTTCGTTGAAATTAACATATAAGGTGCAAATTCGTTAGGAGAAAAATAAAATGGAACTTGTTGAGGAGTGCAGACAGAAGGCTCTTAAAATAAAAGACTTCAAATTGGTCTTTGAGCTCCTTGGCCTCGAAGTGTTTGTCCACATCTATCGTTTTGAATCCCAGTCAGAGCTAGTGTTTTTGTGCAAATACAACATGTCTTTGCTCTGTCCACAAAGGGGTGTACAATATATTTAAACGATATTCAAAGCCCCTCCAAGAATTTACACAACTGTCTCCGAGTATCCACCATTCTCACGGAACACATTGTTAAGACGACGGTCTGACGTATCGATTTCCAAGTAAACATGTCCTCTCCTCTGCAAGGGAAAACAAATCGAATGGTGATCCATTGCGAACTTTGTCGCAGCAGGAAGGATGTGAAAAGGCCCTTCGCTGACTCCCATCTTACGTCTACGGTTCACTCGCCTACTGTAGTGCCAGTTCTTCCTACAGTGTCTCTTGAATTTGCGATGGTTCATGTACTTCCGAATCCAGAACCGGGTGGTGAGAAATCCTAAAACGGAGAACCAAATAGAGAATAGAACGATCACAACAACTCCGAGTTGGAGGTCAGGACACTGTTGCTGAAGGACTTCTTGACTAACATATTCGAGAGATTCGTCTTTCAGCTCTTCGGGCTTCGTGCATGTGATTTCATATGCAAGGTTTTCGGCCCACGGAGGCTGTTCATCTGACCACATGAGGTCCTGCATCCACGCCAGCCGACAGTCGCACCACCAGGAGTTACCGCCTAGAGTCAGCGTGTGCAGGGACTGCAACCCCTCAAACAGCTCGTATTCAAGGAACACCAAGCCGTTATAATCTAGATAGATTTCCTGGAGCTCGGTGTTGAGATGAAACGTTTCCTCGTCGATGCTTGTTATCTGGTTATGACTGAGACTCAAGATCTGTAGAGATGTGAGGTTTTGAATGTTGGGAAGCTTCGGGAGGCGGTTATGGATGAGGTTTAAGGACACGAGCGCAGGGAGAGAGTTAAAATCTGCAATGTCCTGAAGACTATTGAAAGCCGCACTCAGGCTTGTGATGCGGCCAATCGGGCTAAATAACTGCGGTAGAAAGCTCTTCAGTCGATTTCCATCGAGAGTAAGAACACTGAGTTCCGGTGTCTGAACCAGACTCTCTCCGTGGATGGCCGTTAGATCGTTGTCGTCCAGTCTAAGCTCTCTGAGGCCTCTCAGACCCAAGAAGTCGTTTTTACTAATGCTAGTGAGCCTGTTGTCTCTCAGATCAAGAACTTCAAGGCTGTCCAAATCACGGAACACGTCTTTTGGGAGATATTGAATGTCATTGCTAGCTAAAGCCAGGAGCCTGAAGTTCAAAGTACCGTTTATGCCGAACCATTGTGTCACAGCAGTCGCCAGCGGTATTCCATTTTGTGACATGTGAAGTTCTTGTAGCGGGGTTTGAACAAACCACCCAACAGGATCAACATCGAGGAAGTTGTCCTCCAATGACAGTTTCTCCAACGAAGGCAAGTTAGAGAAGGTGTCTTTCTGGACAGACCCGATGCTGCATTGATCCAGGTACAATTCCCTCAAATGAGAAAGTCCGTAGAAGGTGTTCGCCTTGAGATACCCCAGTTCGTTACGAGAAAGGGTCAACTTTCGCAAGGAGAACAAAGTCATTTGAGGTAAGTCAGAGATGAGGTTCCCACTGAGATCCAGATTCCTCAGTCTCGAAAGCTTGGACAATGTGGTGTTGGAGAAGCTCTCCAGGTTATTGTCTGCCAGAGACAGCATTCTCAGCCATGGTGCAAAGCGAGACGAGGCTCCGTCACCAAACTCGCTGATGTGGTTCCCGTCTAGAAGCAACGATCTGGTTCCGTTCGGTATCTCCGTTGTGGGGATCTGTGGCAGGTAGCGATCGGTGCAATCAACCAGCATTCTGTCCGCGTCACATTCACACTCCTCCGGGCAAATCGTTACTGATTGCCCGTCTATCAGTAGGCCCATAAATCCGAGCAAAACAAGCAATGTTTGCAGTAACGCCATGTTGAGGCAAAAAGAAAATGTTGGCCTCTCAGTAAAGGAAATGCTTAAAACCAGTACCAATCATGAACAGATATGTCGTTTATCCAAAATCCTGTTTACTTTTGAAACATACTGATCCATGAACATGCATGGGTGCTGCGCATGAAAAGATCCTGTAGAAATTATTTCAGAAGGCACTCTCGCATATTTGTATTGTTGACATTTTTACGGTGTAACCTGAAAATGGACCGAAAAATGGTTGCGTAGTCAAACATAAAAAAGTCCCTCTTGATAGTATAGTTCTCGTCGGTATGGGAAATTGAGAAACCTACCGTTGACAATAACTCCCATTCAAGTCCACAGCTTTTCAGACAAGTTAAAGTGGGTGGCCTCAAAGAACAAAAACACATGTGTCAAGGCCAGATCAAACCGGAGTGCGGCATACTCCGCATAATAAATACAGTTTGTCTGGGTGATTTCAGGATTTAGGCCTACATAGGTTACTTGAGCGGGTTCAGGTAAGAGGGAGGGGGTGGGGAGGGGAAGGGGGTTAGATTGTGTGCCCCCCCGAAAAATAGAAAGTATCACATTGAATGTGGTACTCTGGATCCAACAAGAATGGGTTTCTACCATTAAAGCAGTCTGATGATCGGTTATCAGCTTCCCTGATAAAATATCTTGTCCCGGATAATGTAATTAATTGATTTTCGGGGGTCAAAATTTTGACTCTCATGAAAAAAATCGATGTGAAACGCTTGTAGGCCTATCGTTGGTACCCATGTTTTCACATATGAGTGGGAGCAACGAACTATATAGCAGACGATCCGCTGTTTCGAGTACGCAACATGCATGTGAGTTGACGTTCGATTGAGGAGAAAAGGACATGTGAAGTTAAAGAAAGGAGTGAGGATGAACTGCCTAATAACATTAAATTTCGGAATTGTCATGATTGTTGTGTTTACTGCTGTTTGTTTTCGTGATTTTTAAATTAAAATCCAAAGAATCCAAGACAGAGCTATACAAAACAATTGTTGACTGCTGTGATGTGGGATATGACGTTTTGAACACCCTCAGGGAGCATGCGCCCCTCAGGTGTTCAAGACGTCATATCCCACATCCCAGCAGTCAACAATTGTTAAATAGTCTATGCCTCTATGGAATATCCCCTTGCACAGAAGAGAGGGCTCCGTTGTACAACAGGAGATACTCACAGGAGTCGCGAAAGAATTATATTTCACGTACAGCGAAGCAAGAATGGACCCATCCAGTAAGCCCCGCCCACTGCGCACTGGGCCAATTAACACGTGCTCCTCTCCAATGCCACACTGCATTTTCCTGCCGCGCGCATCATACGCGCGTGCACGCATGTCGGACCTTTGTGCACGCACGTCGGACATAAATCACGGCTGTGATTGGTCAGAACACCATGGGGCGGCGCTTACTGGATTGGTGTTATAGGCCTAACAATCATTCCCACCAACTATTTACAAACTTAATTTAGATTGGATGAGAGAAGTACGGCGACTTTTGATTGTGACACAGACACTATATTTGATAATTGAATTTCGCTTGGATAAATCCAGAATATTGAATTAAAAAAAAAAATTTGGCCATCCAGGCAATGACTTAAGATGGCAGGATTGTGGATTTAGAAAACAGGAACCACTATACCCTGCATTCCTACCGCGCCAGTCGAATTACGTGCAACGTGGCTCTGAAATAAAATCAACATTGGATTAATTAGTGTAATACTATTACATTGGAACCGAACATCCTAAGACAGTGAAATATTAATACAGTGAAATGGCACATTTCTTGAAAAAATTTGCATTAAAAGAGTCATATGACAGCATGGAATAATTAACACTTATGAACAACAGAATGGTTTTTTTTAATATTGAACTGCAAAATTTGCAATATTGAAACAAAACTGAACACTGTGTCTTATTCAATTTTAAATATTATACCTTTAAAACTTTTGAAGAAATACATCGGCCGCTATATACACGATAAAAACACCGAGATAAATGTCGCAACTTTCCTCACAAAAACTGAACAACTACAGTACGACACTGATGTCACAGTTTTACAGTGGTTCTGAATCGCAATTGTTTTCATAGATCTCCCTAAATTGGAATACGGAATTTGTTTTAATTCTTCATCGATATTAAGGCTACATGCTAAGTAAGTTTCTGTCACTATCTTTTCATTTACTTTGGAATTTTTTCATCCAATTTTGATTTTCAAAATGAAAATCTAAGGTTGAAAATGATGTGTTCAGTGTGCCTTAGCAGTAAATTTAAATGCTGTGTATATGGTTCACCGATTTTTTTCCTAATTACGTTTATCTAATTATTATGGAGTGGAGTGCTGTGGCCTCGTGGTTAAGGGCACTGGATTCGTGGCCTGTGGGTAAAGCTGCGGGTTGTGGGTTCGAGTCCAGCCGGGGTCATGGTGCGTGTGCCCTTGAGATAGCCACTCGTTGCTTCTCTCCACCCAGGAGTAAATGGGTACCTGTGAGGGCAGAGATGGTTATTGTGATTGAATAAGCTTGCTTGCGCCTAACAGGCAGCATCGAGCTGTATACTCCCCAGGGAGCTGAGATGGTATTTGGAATGTTTACTTGGCCCAATGATCAGGGGTAATAATAATACTGTAAGCGCTGTGATTTAGTTTACTAATAAGAGCGTTCTTAAATGCCGATTATATATTGTCGCTTTTCATACAATCTATAAAAAAATGAAAAGATTTGAGTGAGACAGCTCGGATTTGCTGGTCAAGCTTTTGACCAGCAAATCTGAAGCATCGAAACTGTATCAGAATTGCTTTCCTGTATATATGGGAACCCAAGCAAAAACAGATGCGGAGAAGAAGACCTGCAATCAACTTCATTGACATACTCTGCAAGACACAGGACAACACCAAGATTAATTGCCTGGAATAATGAGGGAAAGGGAAACCTGGAAAGCCATCGCATCTCGGGACAGGAACATCAGGCTCGACTACCGTAAGTAAAGTTAGAAAATTCACACGTATGTAATCGCCTCCATTTTGTTGTCGTCACTCTGATCCGTGCGATCATCGGTTCTCGTTGTCACCTCTCGATAGGAACGCCTCCGCCTTTGAAACGGGAAGGACATCCTCCGCTGGCCGAACTTGGCCGAGAGGCTGTAGGGATGAGCCCCGGTGATCCCATGGCGTCGCCTCCGCAACTTTCGTCTCCTGTCGTACTTGAAATTGGACTTCTTGTTCTGGGCGAACCTGCGGACCATCAGATACCTCCGGAACCAGAACTGGAGTACCAGGAGGGCGATGATGACAAACCAGGCCGATATGACGGCTGGCAGGACCACGCCGATCGAAAGACTGGTACACTGATTTTGGAGAGTTTCCATCCCGACTTCCATCAGCATGATGCTGTTAAGATAGGGAGGATGGGAGCACGCTATCTCATCTGCGAGGTTCTCGGCCCACGGAGGCTGTTCTTCCGACCACATGAGGTCCTGCATCCACACCAATCGGCAGTCACACCACCAGGAGTTACCGCCTAGAGTCAGCGTGTACAGGGACTGCAAACCCTCAAACAGCTCGTAGTCCAGGAACACCAGGCCATTGTGATCCAGGTAGATTTCCTGGAGCTCAGTGTTACTCTTGAAGGTGCTCCTTTCTATCCTTGTTATCCGGTTGTAGCTCAGATCTAGGATCCTTAGAGATGTGACGTTTTGAATGCTGGGAACGCGCCGAAGTTGATTATTGCCCAAATTCAAAGTTATAATTTCCCGTAGTGGCTCAAAACCAAAGTCGAACAAATGTGAGATCGCGTTGCTTGATTGGTGAGGCTTCATCAACTTCTGACATCTATTCCCCTCTGCGGTTTCTGACTGGTTGTTGTCAGCAGTGCTCTGAGATGCAAGTCTCTCAGCGAGGCTAAATAAGTCCAACGGAAGGCTCTTCAACCGATTCCCACTCACCGTGAGCATTCTCAGACCCGGCAAGTTACATAAACTTTCAACATGGAAAACCGCTATGGCGTTATTATCCAGTATAAGCTCTGTCAGGCTATGCAAACCTTTGAAATCATACTCCTTAATGACGCGAAGGAGATTTCCTTCCAAATCTAGGACTTCTAATTTCTCCAGTCCGAGAAACACGCCTCTCGGGAGAAATTTAATGCCGTTGTTTGCCAAGAACAAGTTCCTCAAATCCACAGTCTCATTTCGGCCGAACCATTTCCTGATTCCAGAGGTAAGTGATATGTGATTGTCTGAAAGCTGCAATTCTTCCAACTGGGTGCTTCTGAACCATCCAGTAGGGTCAGCGTTGATAAAGTTACTCGTGAGTGAGAGCTTTATCAGGGAGGGCAAATTTATGAATGTACCTTCCTGGACATTGTGAATACCATTCTCGCCGAGGTTCAGCTCTTGCAAGGCTGAGAGTCCAGGAAAGCTGTCCCTGGAAAGTTCTATCAAGTAGTTACGGGAAATGTCCAACTGCCGGAGGAAGGAAAGTCGTTGCAAGCCGCCGCGGGGTACTGTCGACAACAGGTTCCCGCTTAAATTGAGGAACTCCAATCCCCGAAGTTGCGAAAGGCTGTCATTGGAGATCCTCTCCAGAAGGTTGTCGGCCATGGACAGACCTCGGAGCCAGGGTCCGAGTCGGGAAATGGTCTTGTAATCAATCCGAGTAACGAGATTCTCGTCTAAGACCAGATACCTGGTCCCGTTCGGCATTTCGTGGGGAATCCGGGAAAGTTTGCATCCGGCGCAATCCACAATCATCTTGATGATGTCGCAGGCACAAACGTACGGGCACATCACCGCTGACGACGAACCGCTGGCCGCCAACAGCAGGGAGGTCAGTATCCAAAATAACTGAAGTAGTGCCATTATGTTGTCACGAAAGGATGCTCCCTTGGTAACTCATGTCCGAAGCTAAAGGGACATGCATCAACATTTGACGCATCTTTTGTGAGCAACCACGACGAAGGTAAACTAAATAAAAAGGACAGGCTCAAGAGCACACACAGATTGACATATTAGGGTTAAATCGGTCTTAATTTTGTTTCTACCCACAATAATTCAGCCTCACATCTGTCACAGCGTCTCAAGGCGGCTTTAAATACAGCTAATTTAGTGTGTTGGCCAGGGTTGATCAATTGGATCGATGGGACGCAGGGCCATTGGTGCACCTGACCTAATTAATTCCTTCATGTTATTTAATGACTGATTGATTCTGCATGTCTGTTACTTTTCGTCAAGGTATACATTGGCGGTACGTATACGGAGGTATGTCAAGATGTTAATTATTTTCAGGGGATAAGGTGATGTGTTTAATTTGTTTTTCAATAAAGTTTGATGAGGCAAAATGTGTCTCCTCATCCCGCACGCAAAAAAGCTCTTTCCGAATTAATATTTGCACCTTCATTTAAAATTCGGGTTGCTCGGAGAAGGAACATATTTCCACACTGACTGGCCATCGAGGAAGATGACTACAATTCCATCCTCTCTATGAAAATAAAAGTAATGTTTCGATACTCACTCCTTGGTCTTCAGTGCTTACAGAAACCATGGAGAAATCCATGCAGAAACAACCACCCATCCTCGATATGAGATATCATGCAAGAAAAGTCCCAAAGAAAAGTTACGCAAAAGAAATATAAATCCGAAAGGCACCAGGATGTGACTTGATGACACGCACATTATTATTGAATAAAAAGAATCGTAGTTTCTGATACCAAACAAATTTCGGGAACATTTTTGCCCCCCATGTTGTCCTCGCCCCTCACCCCCCCCCCCCAAGTCTGGTACCTCCATTACGATATGTCTGTTCTCCGTTTTGTAACTTGTTGATTTTTTCAAACGTGAACAAATGGAAATATTCTATCACAGGGAATGGTGTTGGTTTATGTCTATGACTAAAGCACTCCCGTGAACGCCTACTGCAGCACGTATTTAGTGACATTGGTGAAATGCATCCTCATAAAAGCAGCGACATGGGTCAAAGTGGCAAGGGCGCCCTCTTTCTGCATTCCGCACTTCTTGTACAACGAGTCGTTATAAAGTTGGAATACACCAATAGAGGGCGCTGTTCCTCGTCAGTAGACTTTTCCTGTCTTGAATAATAAAAAAACAGATTTGGCAAAGAATTTTCTTCAGATTATTGCAAGCTCTTTTTGGGTTACTCTGATCAAAATAGAAATAAGCACTTTTTGTGAGTGCTCTTATTATTTACGAAGTCATGCCACCCAAAAAAGTGAACCACAATGAAGTCTAGTACGCATGTGACGCCTGTTACGTTTAGACATGCAGAGGTTTACTTATGTAAACACAAGCTTTTTCAAATGAAGTCGGTTAATTACAAGTCTAAATTCACAAGCTTCAAGTTGGGCGGATATCCCGTGGGATGGGGGATTGGGGGACATGTTCCCCAATGCGCATAATTTGCATGTACATGTATTATATATAATGTGTGCATATACAGACATGTATATGTTTGAACAGCTCCTTCCGTCAGATGGCGTTCAGCCCCCCCCCCCCCCGGCTTTTCGAATTTTCTAAAGCTGCTGGTCCCCTGTCCCCGCCCCCCCCCAATGTTGACAAGAAATCTATCCAAATATAGTGGCAAAGGCATCCCTTTGTCATTGTCCATTCCTTGTCACCTGCGCCTAACTTATGATTGACTTGTGATGGACTGGACAGCTAGGAAAGACATGGAATTGCTCTACCGAGTTCCACTCTTGCTAACTGTCATAGAGTAGCCTATGTTTGAAATTCATTACGTGGAGTGTCATTCAAAGTAAATGGAGAGATCCTTGATATCAGCACAGCCTATTAGCCTACTGAGTCGTTATGCATTGGGAGGTGACGAAGCGTGCACCACGGCGAAGACTAGCAGACGCCACACGACCGATGAATAATATGATACAATACATTATCCCCGGAAGTTAAACTCCGGGCATTCGTGAATAAATTGGTAAGTTTCAAATTAAAAGAGCCGACACTCGTACCTACCGGCTCAAGCCGGCTTTACTTTGTGAGGCCAGGCCCGAACTCCAGGGCTGTACACGAGTACGCTTTCAAATTTAGTCTCTTGACATGTTAGAGATACGTTGCGGTCCAGTACCATCGTAGGAATCGAATTATTAATTGTTGGCCGTACGCCTGAAGACTGCACCAGTGATGAACAGTTGGCACTGTTATATTCGTCCTTCGTCAGGAACGATTAACTGGCGAACGCCATACGTTTTTCGAGTGAGTTATGAGATTCTGCATGACCTCTACACAAAATTCCAAATTGCAATCAAAGAGTGCGGGTATCTCGAGATATACCAGAGCTTATTAGAATTTCAACAGTTTGTGAGGGGTATCATGAGAATGTCCTCATCTTAAAAGGTAAGCAGCTTGATTTTTTTGTGCCCCGTTTCATGTACATGCTTTGTGCATTAACCAGCAATTTGAACTTTATTGGTATATGAACACCATTGCAACACGCGAGTTTCTGTTGTAAGTGAATTAAGTAATTGTTTTGCTCCCTTCTGTCATACGTCTTTTTAGGGGTTTAATTAACCCTAACTCCCTAGGGGGTGTGCAAAATCATATTGAAATTGGAGGATTCAGGACTGTTAGGGATAGCTATTTGTGTGTGTCTATTTTATTCACCAAAAAATATAGCACGTTTGTAGATCATTCAGAAAGGTGCTATCAACATTCTCTACTGTACGTGTTCTATGGTTGCCTATTGTCCTTAATTGGTATATCACCTGGTTTTGGTTAACATGCATCTTGGTTAATCGATTAAGTACCATCGTCTGTTCGTCCGTTGTCTACTTGTTTGTCTGCAGGCCATTACTAAAACTATGTACATTATGTTAGTTTGGTTTTTATCATTGTTAACTGGCTTTGCCCACTGTCTTTTTGATTTACCCTCTCAAGAATTATTACAATGAAAACAAGACAAGGCAAAGACTATTTTATGCTATCCACCCTTAAACCATGTTATATTCGTATAGTAAGGCTGGCCTCGGAGAGTTCACTAAAATTAGTTTCTATTGAATCAGAAAGACTGTTCGCTGTTTACACAATGAACCGGATTGAAACCCATCCAGTGACGCTACGGGGTAATCATATACGATAGCACTGCCCGGCCGGCTCATAAGTGACATGGAGATAGTGAATCCGTTAGTCAGTAATACAGTGCAAGGAGGCTCTGGCCCTTTCTGGACCAGCAAAAATATGATCATAGCTTAAGCACGTGCATGGATACTGTGACGTGAAGATCCCTTCCACACGGCGGAAAATATACAATTTTTTCGCGGCTGGCGGCAAATTAAATTATGGAGAATGGAATGCACTTACGCCATAGAAGGCCAATACACTATTCAGCGAATAAGTCATAGTTCGGATTATATGGGCAGATAAAATGCAGCACTGCAGACAATCAGTCTGTGGGACAATTTTGTTGTGTACCGTAAAAACCCAAATGCCATAAGCCTATTTCATTTTTATTATGCCCTTTGATCTGCAGGTTTTAACTGTGGTCGAGTTTTAGACTGTGAAATTGTTAAATTATCAAGTGGGACATTATTTATAAATAGTCGGAAAAGTTTCCCAAATGTTACCTGTATTACTTTTGATTTAGTGAAACAAATCTTAGCTCTTATTATCGAAGTTTGGGGTGAAATTTTCTTAATGAATATACACTGAGATCAATCGTTCGGCATCACTGTATTTCGCCAAACGCGCCAGGTTTGATAAAAGATGATGATCATGGTATCGTTGATTATTTTTGTAATATTATCAATTTGTTTTATGCTTATACATGTACATGCGCACAATCAAACCATCAGTTCGTATTCCCTCTAAAGTTCCCATCTGTTCAGAAAACGCGGGGAGGTTCTTTTGTGACAAAAAAAATTGACTCGTCTTCTTACAGTTGTCCTAATGACATGAGCTGTGTAATTAGCTCCAGTAAAAAGTGTCATCAGGAGGCGCAGCTGAGACATATACGTTGAGAGAATAATATAATAGTGGAACATAATTGTTTAGTGGATGCGGGGAGGGGACGTGAGAAGGGGGGGGGCCTGGCGTGGGCATGAGAGCAGATTTCACGAGTTCTTTTGATGTGTAAATCCATGCAAGATGTTTCTAACGGACGTGTGGAGCGTTTCATTAAAATTAAACGAAATTAACTTCGTGGAAAGCTGGCAATCCGGTTAACTTAAAACAAAATGTGGTTAAATCCATCATCAGCACGCGCATTGTACAGTCATGTGCTTGAATTGCTTGAGCGCTCGGCCTTGAGCCGGCGATTAGTCAAATAGCATCCAGTGCATGCGACTGATTCGAAAACCCGTGTGAAGTTCACGTATCAAAGACTTTACCACATCCAGTTGGGTTCCGCAGATTGGTTTGCGATCGTGCATGCAGTCTGACTGTCGGTTGTAATTAACCCACGATGATAATTTGTAAGTGGAAAAACTTCAAGCAGATACAATAAGCAACGAGGAATGCTGAAAACATACAGATCTAACAATTTAGAGAAAAAATTAAGCAACTGCATGCCGGTGTGCGCGCTTGTGGTGTGCACAGAATAATGGAGTGAAGACGTAGAAGACGATAGGTCCTTGATTGTTTGGAATCAAACAAATGTAGTTGCACAAAATCAAGTGCTGGGGTGCTCAGTAAGCAGTGACCGCCTCGTATGAATGTCTTGCACGAAACGATTGTGCGTACAAGCCCGGGCCGCCGTCCCACGCGAAAATCACGCGCTGAAAGATTGACCAAAATAAGCCCCCATGGTTTCCCATGAAAAACAGCGCGCTATATACCACGCGACTGTAACATTACTACACATTATCTTGCCTCCATTACACAATTTTCATAAACAACGTTACGAATTGTTACAAACAATTGTGTGAAGTGTTTCCTTTTTTTTAATTTTTTTTTTTAATTAAAGTTTGGTAGTTATATTTCATGGGAAACTTAGGGGGGCTTTTTGGGTCAATTTTCCGGGGACAGACATTATGCCAAATAGACGCGCATGCGTAACGATCGAGACAAAGCCCGTTTTCCGATAACTTTCGTCAAGAGTGCATTTTACTGACGACGGTATTGCATTTGGGCAATTTTTGGTCAGTTGGTAGTTATATTTTATGGGAAGCTTAGGGGGCCCGTTTGATAGAAGCTCCTGCCAGAGCTTGAAACTGCAAGTGTAAGAAAAAGAAGGCACCAGAAGAACACTGTTAATGTAATCTATATACAATCAAACATAATGGACAATTTGAGGGGTTTTGGTCCCCACAAAACCTATCGTGCATCGATTTGATATTTAAATATTATATGCGCGTAGCTGGGAAATAGGCCAATTGGAAAGGAAATTAGTACATAGGATCGTCCTGGCGAAAAAGCATTAAATGAAGAAGTTTTGAGGGCGTTGCCAGTCCTCATGAGGTCACACACGTCCCCAGTCTAATCCCTCAGTGCAGAAGCGTATGACATGACAACGCACGCGCGTTTTAATAATGAACTTCCCAGCCAAAAGACCTCGAGCTATGAATAATTCAACTCATATCTTTGAGCTCCGCGGGAGGCGTCCATTAAAATGTTTTCCCATCAATTTTGCATTCGGTGGAATTCCATACAGCCAGAGTGCTTTACCCTCGACGTCGCTAGCGTGGGTTTGGCGCAGTTGGGAGACAAAATTCCGCCAAAAACAAAATCAAATCGGATGTCGAGTCTTTTTTTTTTCACTTGATATTTCCGAGACGTTCTCGAGAGGGATCTGATAATTTTGAAGTGGAAGTCTGAGAGAACAATCGCAAACGATAAGAGGGGCTGGAGACGGCGAGTTAACGAGGCACACGATAGGCAAATAGAAAACAATCTTCTATTGTTAAATGTCTTATATATATTTCTATATGACGATTGAATAGGGCTCTGCTGCTGGAATGCGCTTTTTGCAGGAAAACGGAATACTATTTTCTTGCTGGCAGCAAAATTTCCGGAAAAGTTTTTTCACTCCGTTAAATAAACAGACCCTTAACATGAGTTTGGACATGTGTACACGGTTGTGGGTGAAATAACAATATGCACTTAGATGAACTATATTATGTGTAGGTGTTTGGGCCGATGTGGTTGATTGTAATCACGCTAATTAGCATAATTAATATTTGCATTTAGGGAAATTCCGTAAAATTGTGCCGACAATACGGAATATATTACACTTTACGGAGTCCGTAAATTTACGGGCATTTTTAACAGTGTGGACCAGAACGTATAAAAGGAGGGCATAAATTTAGCCGACGTTCGAATCAAGGAGCTTTATAAAAAAAAATCGCCCAAAGCCAATGATGAAACGACGAATTGGAAAATGTGTTTAAAGTCCGGTTCCTGAATAGTATTGTGTGCGTTCTAGAACCATGGGGTGGGAGTCTGTGACACGTTGTATGTATGTACATGACAAACTGCTGATGTACCGTACTGTATTCTGCACCGTAAGTCATTGCCAATACTTCTCGCAAAGTTTTGCTTTTATTTTTGGAATTTATATTAGCCTTCGCTCGCGTCGAGTCGAGTCTTCTGATCAGTGAATCGAGTCGAGTCGAGTCATTTGCTCGCAGTGACTCGAGTCGAGTCGAGTCATTTACCAGGGACTCGAGTCGAGTCGAGTGACCAAACATTGTGACTCGAGTTGGACTCGAGGCGAGTCATTGACTCGAGTCATTATAACTCTGCTCTCAGGCATTACAGGTTGCTTATTGTCTTGCAAAGTTGACAGACTTCCACAAAAGATGAACGCCGCATCATATCAGAGCGATTATTTATTCATGTCACTTTTACCTTGTCCTGATGAATTTGTCCCCCGTCATTCTGATAACTAGCCACGAGATCTCATGATAACCCCTTCGAGTTAAAAAGTGTCCGAGACGTGCGACTCAACACTAACGCTATCATTTTGCTGGTCATGTGATCGTTCTGAACCCCAAGGCGTGAGTCAATAAATACCAGGCAATGAGCTGAAGATTCAATACATGTATCTCCCCTTCACCGACGTTATTTCATAAGCACTATAACGGGCTTATACTGAGTGATGTCTGAGAGCTTGCGATTAATTCAACATCTTCTCGGACGGGAATCGAACCAATCGACCTTCTGTTCATAAGGACATCTACATGTCACCACCCACCGAGCTTCTTGGTGTCGGCTCACCTGTTCGAATCTGATTTTGCAACGGGCAACGCGATCAATCTCTGTTTGGTTTGAGGGAATATTTGCATCTTGCAATTTTGGCGTCGGGGTGGGAGGGGGGTAGAAGTTCATGTGTTTGGTTTTATACGTACGTCAGCCAAAGAGCTACGTCCTTGCTTTTGCCACGGGCCAGTTAATTTACTGGT